GAGAGCTGCAGTTCATTCCATGGCTCAGATAATCTAACACATCATAAACCCTGACGGGGCAGGTTTGATCCCCCAGCTTTTCACTGTGCGTTCCTTCAACTCTTGCTCTGGTTCTGGATCTGTAATGAACCAGGCTGACTCACTTATCCAGAATAAAATTGAATAGATAAAAATGGGGGAATTTTGTCTTGGGTTAATGATTGCATAATCTTCACAAAGGGCCTGAAGAATGCTGTGCATAGTGAAGGTTGATGGAGAGAGGAATGATGACTCTTAGGTAGTAGAGATCTGTTAGAACCACTTGGCTGCCTCTTCCACCTCCCCAGCCAGGACACCAGGACATGGATCTACAAGACTTTAAAGCACTCCAAGTGCTCCAAGAGTCTTGCTGGCCTACTTTGCCGTGCTGTGACATGGTGCCCTGCTCTTTCTGTGCACCAGCAGTTGTGTCCACTGGCCCTGTGATGTGCTGGTAGAAGAATATTCAGTGTTCGTATGATTTTAGTTAGGTCTCTCCCAGTTTTGCATCTTGAGCTGATTCTTCAGGTTGTCAAATAAACACAAGTGATAATTGAAAAATGTGCAGGAAAGCTTGGGGACACAGGATGTGCTTGAACTCTGACAGGGGTGGTTTCGATTACATTAAGCTGTAGGCTTCAGTGCTACAACAACCGGTTTTCTGCATTTTTGTTTCTCCTTTCCTTGGGTGAATTTGAGAAGCACAGTTACATTTTCTGTAACTGACCAATCTTTCATCTGTACAAAGGCATGTGTATACAATGGACCTAACTCTGATATCTGGGTTGTAAAACTCTTAGTACCCACAAGATACTGAGAGTGGGCTACCAGAAGGTGAATCTATCTAAAGAACAAAGGTACATTATTCATTTTAATAAGATCATACACAGACATGACAACCAAAACCCAAATCACCAACTCATGTTTGCTCATCAAAAATATCTGCAGCTGATCTAAAGAATTTGATGAGGTACAGAAATCAGCAAATAATTTGTCATAGACTCTGACAAGACTAAATCAGATTGTAAGAAATTGATGGACCTGTATTTCCAGGCTAATCTATGTGTCAAGTACAGTGTTGTGTATAAGTTCCATCACTGTTCCCATATATTCCATAGATCATACTTTACCTGCTTGGTACTTTGGGCATACTTCTTGTAGTAAGGTCTCTGTACTTGGCTGAGTTTGTGGTGTAGGTGATACCTCGGTGAACTATGCACACCTTCTGTGTGCCCGGGACTGCTAAAGGCCATTGGAGAACTAGAGAAGAGTTGTCTCTGATTTAGCAGTAGAACCTGTTTTGTTTTCATTACTAGGTCTCAGGTCCTGAAGACAGCCCAAATCCTCCAGCAGGAGCTTTCAATAAGACATTGTTCTGCTGCACTGCCAATAGGATGTCATTACTCTAACTGCAAGATAAGAAAGGATTTGTTAATGGCTTCTCTTGGGGGATGGTGGCATTTTTTCCCCTTATAGATCACTGGGGAAGAAATACAGGAGCAGGCTGACAAGAAAAGTAAATCAGTTTGGCACCTTTTTTTTTTTTTTTTTTTTTTAAATTTACTTAGGCTTCTCAGTAAAAGCTTTAAGTTATGGAAAACACAAATTCAGCCTTTTTTAAAATTTGTAGTCATGTGAAAAAACAGTGATCTAATGTTCACGTGCATATACCTTTTTAAGAGAGAAAAAGAAATGCTTTAGTATCTTTTAAAAAGAAAGCTGCTGTAAGCAGTAACAGGTCTATAACCTGTCTAATCTGGAGGTACAGTACTCCAGGAGAGGCAGATCAGTTTTTGCCTTTCCCAGGTCTAAGTAAGTGGTTACTAATTAACAGCAGATATGGCACGAAGTTTTCAGTCCTTGCTTTGGTGTAGCTATCAGTGCTGTAACTTGGGGGCTGCATGGCTGTGCATGGGGCTGCTGTTGCCCTCACCTTGCGACCTCTGCTTCTGGCCAAAACCTCCTGCAAATACCCTTGTCTGGTGTCACCTCTGTCCCAGGCTGCACAGCTGGCTCCCGCAGGTTGCTGTCATGGAACTCCCTCATTGTCCTGGGGCTTTCAGAGTCCAGGTGACATTTTGGCAATCTCTGATAGAACAATGTCATATTTTTTGCAAAACCACATTTAGCACAATGATAAAGGGCCTGATCCTGTGAGTTTTTAGCCATCTATATAATCTTCTATATAGTTAAAAATATGAGCACACAGACAGCATGTCTGAACTTGGAAAATTCATTTGGCTTCAGGTGGAGCCTGAGCTCAAAACACAATAGCTACACCTGAATAGGGATATTCAGAGGACACAGAGCAGGTGCCAAGACCAGACCTGCTTGTTTGCAGTTATGCAGGGGATTCTTAAAGGCACAACCCTGCACATTCATCTGTGTAACCAGCTTAGGCAGACAGGCAAGTTCCTCTTTTTTAAACTCATTAAAATAACTATGGGATGAGGAGCCCATTTGGCTGTGTTTTGGTAGATTTTTTGGGCCAGAGCCTTCCCTGAAGCTGGGCTACCTCTCCCACCATGTCATCTCTACTTCCCACCCTGCATGACCCTCTGTCAGGCTGCCCATGTGGCCATGCCAGCACAGCCACCCGTGCCAGCACGGCCAGCTGTGCCAGCACATTCATCCGTGTGGTTGCATTCCCCTGCCCAGTGGACAGCTGCACAAACACAGGGGTTGGCAGGAGGCAGCTCCAGGGTGGCAGGGAGAAAGCAGAGCCCCTGCCTCCTTATGCTGGCATTGCTGACAAAATATTTTCATAGAACGAGTAATCTTAACCCCTGGCAGCCTGGGTACTCTGAGCTCTATAAAACCCCAAGCACCCTCAATCCTCAGTGGAGGGGATGAATGTTCAGGGCTGAATACCAGGCTGGGGGTGTTGGTCACAATTGGCTTGCCTGGCTCCAGCAAGCAAAGATCCTGCAGTGCCTCTCCAGAGAGGCTCACAAGTTACTGCTCACTCTGAGCAGCCAGACCGGTTTAGAGCATGACTGCATGAATGAGCACAGTATGGCTGTAACAGGAGACCAAGTGAGATCCCAGAGAATGAGAGGTAAGGCGATAGCTGCAGGTGCCTGTGGCTCACAGCACAGCTTATTTAGGCACTTGTGGGCATCACAATTTCTCAAAAAGCTGAGAAATTATGTGAGAGTCTTACATGGATACCATACAAATACCTAACATTGCCCGCCCTGATATTACATTAATGCTATCAGAGTTGGTTGTAATTTCTATTGTGCCGCACAATTTAAGATATGAGTTTCTCCCCCCACCGTATCCTCCTCCCAACTCTCTCTTCATATGTTAGAGGTAGCTTTTTGGTGTCCTGGCCTGTGCATGCTGCACTGTGGAATGCAGTGGGATTTTCTCCTTGGTTCTGTGTGTGTACTTTTTCTTCATTTTTTTTCTCTTCAGTATTTAGTATATTACCATAGCCTACATATTTTTAGAGCATAGTATATCTTCATACAGTTGATATAATTCCTGACTGATTAACTGTAACTTTATTCTCAGCAATTAGCATTGCTTTACAGTATGTATCAGAGAATGCAGCAGAAATTGTAGAAAGCAATTTTAAAAGACTCTTGTTTTGATGCACTTCCAGCTTGTAAAAAAAACCCAGTTTCTCCAACTTTCCTAAAAATAATATTTTACTATTATCAGTCTATTAAAACACATTATTTTCTTATGGGGAAATGATTGCCCCAAGCTGTGTTGAGGTTATTTATGACAAACTACATCCATATCTTTTCAGTGTTTTGCATACCTGCTACTGATCCATGCTTGAAGTCCACAAAGATGCAAATAAAAAAAAATCTTGCAGCAACCGTCACTTGCTCCCCTGTATTGGAAAAGCAGCCTTATGTAATAGACTGGAAATGACAGGTAGGCATACCAGAGAAAAATCTAGGCTTGGTGTGAATTGCTCATACCTTTGCTGACATCTCTGGTGATGTGCAGGCAGAGCACACTAACAGGGTTGGGTGTTCCAGGTGGGGCAGAACACAGTGTGCTTTCATCTGACATATACTGATTATCCAAAATAAGTGCACTTCATCTGCTCTGTGACGGAAAGAATTACTTTCTAGCATCACCAGAAATAAAATACTATACTTTGACTATTTGTATATTAAGTAGAAAAATAACTAAAGCCTGTTGTTTGAACAGTTTTAAATGCATAAGTCAATTTAAAACTGCACAATCCTCATATGGATTTGGGCTATGATGATACTATATCTTTCTGATTGTGGGACAATAATCCTTATTATGCGTTATTCTAAAGTTTGTTCCGTTCTTGCTCTGGTAAAGCCAAATCAAAGCCATCAAATCAGGGCCATGTGGGTACTGGCATCGGTGAGAAACATAGCCCTTAGCAGAAAATAGGTTAGAAGTTAGTATTTCTGCTTCTACGTTGTCATAAAGCTGCTGAAAGCAGATCCCGAGAATCTTTATGTGAAATAAAAACAACACACAGCAGTGCAAAGGAGGTCTCTATTTAAAACTACCCTCTAACCTTTCTGTTCTCTACGTCTTAGGAAAGGATTTCCCCGAAGCAGAGAGCAGGACCTAGAGCAGAAGCAGAAGAGAACTGATGGCTAGATGGCAGGGAGAGACAGAGTGGACTGCCTGGAGGTGGGAGCATCCCATACTCGATCCAGATGAAGAAATAAATGATGACTCTGAAACATAACACAAGGTTTATCATGACAGGAGTGAAAGGTTATAAAACCTAAACTGTTTATTTGTATGAGAACATAATGGTCCTTGTCATCGACGTGATGTTGAAAGGAATGACTTCCATCTAGGAGATGCAGAAAAACACAGGAGATAAATTTCAGTATAAGTAACAGTTTAATGTAATAAGATCGAAAAAGAACAGGGATATGGAAATTAGGGATGACACTGTAATAATGTAAGTGTAACATTTGGCAGCAGCAGTACCATTCAAGGAAAAACAAATACTAATCAACATCAGATGTATTGATATTTTAAAATAGACTTTATTTAATGCCAATAAATATAAAGAAATCTTAATATTCAGAAACTAATAGCAAACATTCTTAGAAAAAATACAAAAAATACACTCTTACATTCTGAATTTTGTTGACATACACAGAGTCTAAAACAGTCGTGATAGTCTGTAATTTATGGTGCTTGTTAAGACAATGAAACGATCACTGGTCCAAATTCACCCTGACTTCAATAGATCTGTACAAAGAAGGAGTTTGGCCTAAATATCAAGTGTAGAAAAAAGGTAAAATGGATTCAGAGTATAAAACAAATCCTGATTTTCCCTTCAAGCAGATCTTTAATAAGTGATCAAGCTTAAAAAAATAAAATTACAAATATTCATACGTTGGCAACTGGCCCCCAGCATTTTGTTCCTATGCCTCCACAGAGCTTCCTGCGTGCAAGCAGAGCACATTTCAGCAGCTAGAGGTAGAGGCTTCAGAAACTGCACAGCTCCAATCAAACTAATAAAATGCAATTTTTAGGCACTGTGTTGGTTTTCATCTTCTTTCTCTGATTCAGAACTCTGCTGTTAATAACACTGGGCACATGGTAAACTGAACTGAATTCCTGATGTAATGTCTTCTGAAATGAAACGTTACAGCTACATTAGCAAGGAACGTGTCATTTCAGAAGCAAATTACTAGAGCAAAAAGTTAATGTTGGCTAGGTGATGCCCATGCAGAGCTCACTATTCTCTTCAGCCCAGCTCTGGTTTCAGCTCTGCAGACTATGTGCCTGTCAGCAACCATTCTGTGCTTATCTAAAAGCCACCTTCTGGGTCAGTTTGAACCAAAAGGAACTCAGTCCATGTGTGCCCAGATTAGTCTGTGGTGTCTCCCAGAAAATGGAGACAAGTGGAAGACAGGTTTCAAAAGCACATTTGTCATCTGAACAAAAAAGACTACGTAGAAACACACTCAGGGCTGATTAGGATTTTATTATGGGAGGAGCCCAAGCCATAGGCACATAGGCTTTGCTGATGGAATGGGTTTTTAAATTGTTATTTTAAAGGCAGGAATATAAACTCTTTATGACACTGAGGGCTAACCCCCCCTTCAGGAAATTATGCCAACTGTAGGAAGGAATAACTTTGAGAGTCCCCAGGTATCAAACAAGGAGCAAAAGTCTAGACACTCCTGAAAATCAGTCTTAAGCTCTGCCACTGCTCACAGTATGACAATTAGTTTGTTTCCTAGTCTCTTTAGCTCTGAAAGAGCTTCCTTAAGATCAAATAATTACCTGAAATGGTCCATTTTGCGCTTCATTCCCTCCCCCCCCCCTTTATCACAGGATGTTTTCTTACCTGCCCCAGCTCTCTAACACCACACCTGGAAAAGTATTTAAGGCACACTGTGCTGTGATCACTGATGAGGGAATAAAAATGCCATCTCTCATCTGAACACAACTGCAAATGAGAAAGGTCCAGTTGAAAGTTAAAATTAAAAGCTCCAAGTATGAAAGGAGCTGACTGTCCTTTCCAGCCCAACTCATTTTGCACAGGGAAATCCTGAGTACTTCACTAGAATTGTTCCTTGAAACAGTTTTTTGACAAAACTGTGTTTTAATTGGAAGTTTGGTATATTATGCAGTGACAGGACCAGAGGCAGTGGGCACAAACTGCAACACTTTTTCACCGTGAGGGTAACTGAGCAGTGGCATAGGTAGTCGCCATCCCTGGAAATATACAAAAAAGAGAAGACCAGCCTTGCTGAACAGAGAGCTTTGGCTGAAACTTAGGTAAAAAAGGAGAGCTGATGACCTTTGGAAGAAGGGGCAGACAGCTCAGGAAGACTAATGCTATGAGGTTATGCAGGGAGAAAATTAGAAGTGCCCAAGCCGAACTAGAATTTAATCTGGCTACTGCTTCAAAAGATAATAATAATAATGTTTCTATAAACATATTAGAGACAAAAGGAGGGCTAAGGAGACTCTTGATCCTTTACTGGATGCGGTGGAAAACACATAGACAAAGGATGAGGAAAAGGCTGAGGTAATCAATGCCTTCCTTGCCTCAGTCTTAAGTAGTTCCAGTTGTTCTCTGAGTACCCAGCCCCCTGAGGTGGGAGACAGGGGCAGGGAGCAGAATGAAACCCTCATAATCCAAGGGGAAATGGTCAGTGACCTGCTACACCACTTAGACAGACACAAGTCCCTGGGGCGAAAAGGCTGCTGATCTGCTCACAGCTTGGGCAGACCTATTGTTTACTAGATAAAAAACTGGCTGGACGGCCGGGCTCAGAGAGTGGTATTTTAAAGACATGTAGATATGGCACTCAGGGACATGGTTTAGTTGTGGACTTGGCAGTGTCAGGTTAATGGTTGGACTTGATGATCTTAGAGGTCTTTTCCAGTCTGAATGATCTTATGATTCTGTAAAGTTTGCTTCAAAAGACAGGCTTGAGTTACATGGCACTCAGTATTTGGAGATTTTTCCTGCAAAATTCATATGTTTAATTCCTTCTGATTGTTGACTGGATAAAATACATCTTCTAATTGCTAGTTTCTCTAAATGGACTGCATACGTAAAAAAGCTATATGAATAATCTGGCTAAAAATTCTGCACATCTATTGCATTTAAGAAGAGTACAAAACTACAAACATAAAGTAATCACCTGGTTTATAGAGTACAGGCATATTTTTATTTTTTAAAAAGGTTTTGGTTTTCATGATTTATATAAATTGGTCCATGAAAACTTTTAAAAGAGAAAGCAAGTTAATAATATGCAATATCACTGCTTCAGGCACAAAATAGCCCTCCACATACATGCCTAATCTGTAATTCCCTAATTCCCAGTTTGCAGCTGGAGCCAAAACAAGCAAGCAGACCTGCAGCCTGATTTGAAGATGACTGATGGCTGTAGCTTATGCCTCTCCACCTCTGACATCCTTTCGTATTATTTAAAGCTTCATAGGATGGTTAAGGCCTATTAAATGGTTTATTCCAATCTCCGGTCTCAATAGATTCATAGTCTTGTCAGAATTCACTTTATTACACAAAGGTGTATCAAAATGTTCAGCTGCACATTCGTCCTATGTCAAAACCTCAGGGAAGAGCACGTCCTGGTGTGAGAGAAATGCAAAAGACAGCCCTCCACAAATACTGATTTAGTATGTAAAAAGACTTTTAACACTTACTGCTTTTACAGGTGAGAGACCTTCAAGGCTATGAGCATTTAGCTCAGAGTGGGCGAGTGAACTAAGGAAAGTACATTGACTGGGGAAAGATAAAATGCCTGAGTTTTCTACTCCCTTGGAGTGCTGTAAGGTCAGTTTGTATGCATTGATTTCAAAGGCAATTCTCCTGTTTACACAAAGACTGATGAACAGGATGGGCTTACAGTCCTGTTGCTTTTTTTGATCCAAGTCTATGATTAATTGAAATGTCTTGTTATCCATTTAAGTCTCAGTATGCATAGCTGACTCAGAGTTGCAAACAACCACGCTTAGTATGTCAATTCCAGTGGCTTAACATGGGATTTTGAGTTGCATTTTCTTTCTTTTTCCTTCATGTTTGGCTTTTCCTCTTCATTTTATAGCTGAGGTTTGCATTAGCAAGCAATCAAAACTCCTTCATTAGATGCGATGATATTCTTAGAGCAAATAATTCATGTTCTTAAGGTTTTATTCAAGTCAGACTAGTTATCTAATAGCTGATGCCTAAGAAAGTAGAAAGCAGCCTAGGTGTTTGGGAATTAATCTGCATCTTCTAAAGATGATAAATAAATTTTACCTTAATCTTTTTTTTTTTAATGTCCTAAAAAGCTGTTTAAAAAAAATGATAACTCTTATCTTCATTGCAGCGGTTCCATTTGTCCAAGGGAAGCTGGTAAATGAGAATGTAAGAGTTGAAAGAAACAATGTTTTGTAAATCCAAAGTGCTTGATAGCTATTGGTAATATCTGAATAGGTAGTAGCTGTCCAGGTACTGTTATACCACATGAAAAAGTACTTATTCATCTTTAGGTTGGAAAGTGCTGTCTGCTCCTTTGATGATTTTGTCGGCTATTTTGCCTATGTTTTTTGTCACACCTTTGAGATGATTCTCGTGTAATAGTTTCTGTGTGAGGTATTTCTCTCGTTTGACCTTGCTCTTGGTCTTTTGTGATACATCCGGAATTATATATGAAATAATAAACTTCACAAAGTATATGACATGCTGGGAAAGGTGAAAACGAAAAAATGTCAGTCAGGCTGAACAGGACATTATTATAATTATAAATGAAATGTCACTTTTCAGAATGTCACTTTTCAGTCTTAAGACTCTGAGCTGATTCACAACTAGTATCTAACATTGTAGAAAAAGATTTTTAAAAGATATGACTAAGATAATTATCTGATAAACAAGAATTTCTGATTTTCCAATCCTGATTTGAGCAAGGACTTCTCTGCCTGCTTTGGGAAAACTCACTGGTACACACTACTTCCCTCCTGCATGGAAACACTGGTTATAGTTTCCTATAAGATTTTTTAGGTTTCTTCAAATGACTGGGGCAATTACTTTTCTCTGATACAGGAAATCTGCTCGAACCAGTTTCTGATTACTTCAGTAGTCCCAGGATCAGGCCGTAAATACATTTTATAATTAAATAATATCCAATACCTCTCTCTTTTCATCTTGGACTGATTCCCATCTTTCAAAAATCCAGGCTGTAGCTGCAGAGGAAGGAGCAATTGCTTTTTGATGATCACCTAGAGACTCACTTCTTACAGTGACTGTCTTTATAGACTTCACTCTGCCACGTATTTTACCTGTATTATGTACATGTATTATGTACTGGTATCATATATATGCATTCAGGACGCTGTGTGCAAACTTCCTCCTAAATGCATGTATTCTATTTCTGCTATTAAAAATTATTCTACAGTTCTTGAGAAAAGAGGCTGCAGATATGTGAGGCAATCGCCAGCTGACGTCATGATTTCAGGGAATTCTTTTTCTAATGCTGCTACCGTGAATTTACATCTCCCAAGTTCTTGCTCATGCTAGCACACATCACCAGCTCTGATAGCTGTGCCTGGACCGAATGCCTCCGAAGGATTTTCTGCAGGGAGGGAAGAGGCTAAATAAGCAATACTCAACCCCCCCATACACTGACCTCCATGACAATGATGAAAGCCAGCTTGGCTGCAATGACATGCCAGTAGTATATGTTGTGCTCGTATTGGTGCTGGTGACCAGGAGGGTAGCGGAGATCTCGGTATCTGAAAGCAATGCAGGAAAGTCAGGAGCGGCTCCCTGGCATCTCTGCAGTACGGCACTGCGGCCAGAGGATGGAGCACGACATGGCCCTGCTTAATGCGTCCCGAACAGTCAGCTCGGGAAACTGCTGTGATGCTGTCTAGCATATCTGCTAGATAAGCCATATTTGGCCGAAATGTAGTATTTTTGCCATTTTAGTGATAAAAATTTTAAGGTGCTTTTTTTTTTTTTTTGAAAAGTATCAGCTAGGAGAAAGCCAAATTAAAATAAGAATTTTCTGAGTAGCTCAAACTTATGGGTGAATATTTCCACTCCATTCTGCCATTCAAAATAAGCTGGGTTTTCCTGTGTTTTAATATTTCTTATGTGACGTTGTTAACTGAACTAGATGGCTTAGATATAAAAACCATTATTTTTGTAATTGGAAATGACAAATTCTTCTTTGACACTTGCCTGCATGTCGTTTGGTTCCCAAACCAAGGGGAAAAAGGCTTGCTTGCATTCTGGAAGTCTGATATATTGAAGACAGAAAGTGTGCTGTTTATATAGCCCTTCATAGTGTGACTGCTATGACTCCCGTAAGGAGGGACTGAAAAGGACCAGTAATAAACCAGACGAGGAATCATGTCAGATGTAAAAGCAATGATCATAGCCTGCATTTCAGAAAGAGAAGACAAAAAAGCAGAGCAGCATTAAAGAAACAAGCTTTAATATGCATTATTTTGCCATATACTTATAATCTCAAAAGTTAGCATATAAGCTAAAAATAGAAAATATGTTCTTTTCTTGTCAGTGGTTGTTCATTCTGTAAATGAGCATGTAGTCTCTCATAGGCACAAAACAATCCCTTTCTGGCATGTGCACTCTGTACAGTTTCTAAATTATACTAGCTCTGTTGAATGCCTTAAAACACTTATACTAGAAGACACTTCTTTCATGTGCATGCAGAGGAGATCAGCAAATGTGCTTCTTATGAGTACTTATGAGATGCTTAAAAAAATTCTGCCTAAAGAAACTAATGGAAACAACAGAAGAGTTCTTCAGTAACAGAAAATTAAATGTCATCAGGTTCTCTGATGTCTGAGTAAAGGAATTAAATAAATTAGATCTATAACTGATCCATCTCTGGTCCTAGAAAAATCCCACCCTTTCTGAGGTGCTAGCCAGCCCAAACTCATCTTGGTATTTGCTGCCTCCTACTATAGTGTAGTACATGTGGAAACTGCTCTTGATGCCAAGATAATTTTTTTAGTAGCAGTTGCATAGTGCTGTTTTATATGACGTGACCATTTGTTTTTATCTTGCTCCCAAGAGAGTCCCTGTCCTACTCAGTCTGCTAGTCACAAACTGAGTAGGAAATATGATCTGTGGGTTTGTTGTGGGAAGTTTTCTAAACCCATGAACTTCCCAAAACATCCTATTCTGGAGGACAGGTTAACTATGTTTAATCCAATTTCCTCCCCTGCTACTGCAAGTTCAAAAGGTTTCCCTGTGAGGAAGACTTTCCACTGGCAAGATCTACAGCTGAGTATTTAGCAAGAGGCTGCCCAGCCGACTCATGACAACAGGCATCTCTGGTGCCCAGCACCTGGGAAGGAGTAACCTGCTGCACTCCAGGACTGAAAGAGAAGTGTTTTGTCCCATATCAGGATAAAAATACCCACTTGACAACATGGACGGACAGAATGAGAGCAGAGACATGGAGGAGAAAGGAGGGAAGCAAGGATCTGATGAGGATGGGGGAAGGAGGCAGAGATGTATAAAAGAGGCAGAAAAAGCTACAGGAAAATTTTGGGACAGAATTAGGGGCAAAGTCAAACAGTAATGGGTAACAGAGGAACATAAAAACTGGTTAATATCTGTATTTTATTCCCCATCATGCCAGTCTGCAATTCATGAGGTCTGGATTTCCTTATTTTGATGACATAAGACAAAAAATTTCCATTTTTGTGCAGCATTCCCAGCCAGACAGTCCCAGCCTGAGGAGATATTTGTAAAATTTGTGGGAAAAGGGAAGGAGAGAGGAGAAATGGAGAAAAAAAGTGGATACCTGTTCTACAGTTCCTTGAACAATGCTTTGGTGGCAGTGCTAGCTAAATCAACCTCCTGCCTCTGCCTCTCGCAGTTGACTTGTGCACTGTGCTGGCTTGGCCATTCCTGGCCCCATGCAGCAGATCAGATAACAATGCTGATCTGACTGGGAATCACCACTGGATCCTTTCTTTGGTCTGATTCATCATGTGTTCATAGAGTGCTGATGCCAGCACAATGCAAGAGACAGCACTGGGGGAGAAAAACAGGGAAGGGAAAGAGCAGGGAGCTGAAAAGGGGGCAAGACCCACCCCACCTCAAGTGACACCTCTGCCAAATGATATCCTAGTGTCTTGCCTTTTGAGCTGGTTTACTTTGAAGAACCTGAGAAGCTAAACCGTAGTTAAGATAAACTGTAGTTAAGATAAAAGTTACAGGAACAATCCCTTTGAGACTGTGGTCCAAGATCTGTATTTAGTTCTCCAGAATATTGTTACAAATGAGTTCAGCTGAGAGAAAGTTCGGCTGATGAGAAATAAAAGGGAGGCATCCTAGGTCTAAAACTCTTTGAAAATTTTCAAGGATAAGGTGTTTTTCTTGTACTGCACTTTGGCTTACATCAAATGTAGTTGGCATGCACTTTTAAATACTGTTTTTAAGCATTACATGCCAGTGTGAAATGAAGTGAAAATTATGTGTTGTTTATATTTACATGCTGAGTAGGTGTTTTTGACTGACAAGAAGTATATATTATTGTTGCAGTTGCAGGGAGGCGACCTCACAGCTAAATTACTCTGTTTTTAACTCTGAAGTATAGTTAAAAGTAGAGTATTTGTAGTGCGAATTACAAGCATAGAAAATTTTTGTTAAATAAACTTTCTTTCTGTTCATTAGCTCATCTAGTCAGACCATAAATGAATTAATATCAACAGTAAGGCAAAAAAATTTATTCTCCCTTTGGACCAAATGAGTTTGATGCTGCTTATTTGTATCAGAAAGATGCTGGAATATGGTATTTACGGAGCTTAATATTTGATCTTACTGAATCTTTTTTGCAAGGTCCCAGGTCTCTCATCATGCTAAATCTGAACCCTGTCTCACTCTCCTCCCTCTCTCAGAATGATCTCCAGATGTGCTCTGGAGAGCTTCAAGGACAGAAATATGAGAGCTAATCCTACAGCATCCTCACAAAGGAAAAACTTTTTTCCTCTTGAATTATGGGCTGCATTTCAGAGTATTGCACTGGAGAACTACAAACAAACAGCACATTCTTCATTTACCAAGCTTTACTGCACATAATTTTCCATTTATACCATAACTAATTAAAATCAGTCTTCAAATCAACAACAGATGCAATAGGAAGTCCAGTGCCTCACGGCAACTTTCAAAACTGGTAGCTTTGTGCAAAAGTTGCTTGCAAGGGCTAGCAGCTGCTACAAAGGTAACATGCATGAAGGAGAAGATGATACACTACCCAAGTATAATCAGCTGTAACAACTCACGTAGAAGAGAAGAAACACTTTCTGTGTACTAAGGTAAAATCAAGGCAGGGTTGGTAAAGGAAAGCCTGATGACTTGGATCAGTTCCTGATGTCAAACAAGAAAAGGAACACACTTAAAGGAGGAAAACAGCTTCTAGCATTTGCTCAAGCACATGGCTTTATGGCCCACACTTCATTAGCAATAAATAGCAACCTCTTTGAGGTCCTCACAGCACGTGCAGTGGGACTGTGTGAACATGACAGTTTCTGGAGCTGAGCCCCTGGCACGCCAGCAGCCCCACGGAGGCGAGCAGCTGATGCCCTGTTCACACTGACATCAACTCCAGAAAGCAGGGCACAAACACATCCCTAACAGAAGCCTATACATGGCCAAGTCAACGTGAGCCACATTAACTCTGCCCCGAATACCATGAGAATTGTGATAAGGTACAATATTTTAAAGTAACCTTAAGATACATGTTCAACTTCTAGTTTCATATTGGTATTACAAGATCCAGCTGGATTGACTAGGAAATATGGATATTTGATCCAGTAGCATAACATTTTTGGACCTCTCTGATAACAGAAGAAAACCTTGTTGAAGCAAACTTGTCGAGAAAGACTATTCCCCATGGATAATCTGTGGTGTTATTGTCCCTGCAGAAGAAACCAGTGGTTATTGCTCCTTTTAAAAAAGGCCAGCAGCAAGAACTTTCTGTAAGTTAATACGTAATAGTTACTGTTTAAGAATAAGCAATCAAATACACTGCAGTGATAAATAACAATGGCTTATTTTTCTTCCCATAATGCAGCCTACAAATACAGTATCAGTGAATTGACACAAAAATGTGAAAGGTCTGAATTTCATTGTTAGAAGTATATTAATCAGATTTTTTTTCTTATTTTCAGGAAACTCTCTTAAAATTAATTTTCTTTGTTATCTACTTAAAAAAATTAAGTACAACTGAAGAAGAGATTAGTGTCCAAATGCTCAGAAAATTAATTCTGATCTGCAGTTTTGAGCACACATGGTATTTTTAAGTACTGAATTTCTTAAGCTGAATTTCTATTTTAAGAAGGTGTGCCTTAAGGATCATTTCAGTTGCATTGCCACACACAGCATTCTCACATTTGGATGTAGCACCTGCAGTGAGGCATTCTATCTTTTGCAGCTGTTGGCACCATACTTACATTGGTGACCACGGCCAAAATGGCTATGCCCTGCAGGATGGGTTGCCAGGCACCAATGTCTTGTGCCTTCTGTGGAACCATGCGCCTGAATTGGGTTGTCAGCTTCCACGCATCCAAGCGGATCTCCAACATGTTGTTAATAAGAGCCAGGAGAGGAGCCAGGGGGAACGACGCCACAAACAGGGTCACAAAGCCAAACTGTATCACTATGAAAGGGAGAGGTTACATGCATTGATGAGGCTTTCACTTACTGCAGATAAGCAAGTGTAGGTATGTATAGTTTATATACTCCAAACTCAGATGGGAGAAACAAGGAAGAGTAGCTGGGTTCCTAGCGAATCTTCTGGATGAGAAAAAAATAGTAGTACAACAGTACTGGAAAAACCTGCTAGGTAAAGGGGACAAGAAAATATTACAAATCACAACATAGCATGAGGAACTATTCTGGGTGTTCAAATATCCATTTTTTTCTGACATCTTTATCATGAAGACCTGGAAATCTCATGACTATCTGCAACTGTACTGAACTGGAAGGCCCAAATCAACAATCATCTTATTGCTGTCTGAGTACTGCCTTAAGTACACTGACAATGTTGTCACAGAATGGATGGTGGCAACAAACCAGCCATGGCCTGCCAGCTCCCTGGTGACTGCAGACCTCCAGCAGAGCAGTCTGACACAGGGCTCTGCTATGATGCCTAAAGCGGGGGAAATTATGCCTTGGGTTTTAGCTTTTATTTTTTTTTCAGATTCTCTCTTGCTTGGTGTGTAACTCTGAAACTTCATATTAGGTGTTATAAGTTCTCTTCACAGGGTAGTTAGACAAAACAATCCCTTCCTAGCTAGAGAATCAAGGACAACTGATACCCAAAAAGCGAAAACAACGGTGAAGGGGAAGGGGCAAGCCAGGGGGCTGAAACTTCATAGCCTGGGGCTGTGGTTGGATAATTGACCCCAATATGGAGATGAACCAAAACTTATAAAAGCGTAAAACTCATGACCGGGTTCCATCTTGGATTTGATTTGGGTGTAGCTCCGGCTGGGCTCTTGCACTGCCCAAAGTGTATCCTCTCAATAAATACCTGTTTTATTCATTTTGCTCTGTCTAGTCTCTGTTCCAGGTCAGCCTTCCCAGGCATCAGCTATGCAACACCAGAACATGACAGGGCTCTGACATTTGAATGCATTTCTCACAGGATTAGGCAAGGAAGTAGTAGTACTTCACCTTGTACAATCACATGCTCTTTCCCAGTTATAAAATGGATTAAGGTTTAGCTACTTAATAAAAGCTTGTAAAACCATCTGTAATGGCTCAATCAAAACTTGTCCCAGAAAACATGGTTGTCTCCTCTGTTCACCATATTAAGCATTGCCTGTATGAAGATTTTCTCTAGAACATGTCTGTATTTAGAACATGCAGTGGTAGTGAATCCAGACGAAACTGTTCCTTACCCATTTCAAGATACTCATAAAATAGTCCAAGTTTTCCAATGGGCTGGAGGTGGTAGTCATGTTCCCAACGTGGAACAACTTTTTCTGATCTAGCAGCTGCAGAGTATCTTCCAATTAAATTCTTGACCAAACTATCAGACAGGGAGAAAAAGAACACTAACATTGGTAAAAGAACCTAAAAAGTTGAGTAAATGAAAAAAATAATTGGCATTTCTGCTGTTATAGGTTTAAACAATGGATTTATTTATTTCTGAATTATTCAAAACTTCCTTCCTTCCTTTTATTGCCTTATTCTAAAAGTGGGTTTTTACAAACTATAAATAAGAGTGTAAAGGGGCAATATACCAGAATCATAGTGATTTATATTTACTAAATGAGTTAAAGTGGTAACTTATATATGCCTTTTAAAAACTCAATGTATAACAACAAATCATTCCAATGAGTACTAAGCAAGTCTTCAGTTAATATTCTCATAGCTTCTACTGCCTCAGTTTTGAATATTCAATCTGAAACACATCAAGTGTGACTTGCAGAGGAAGGAAGAATTTCTGATTAGAATTAAAATCAGTTAAAACAACAGAGACAGGAGCCCAGACTACCAAACCGAAAGAGACTCTGAGGACAAGTCCCATTCTTTCAGAATACAATATGCACTTACCACACTCAGTGACCCAGTGCCTGACAGCATCAAGCAAAACAGTATTTGTCAAATATGAAAGAGCAGATTACTCAAGAGTTTGAACTTACGGAAGAAGCACTTCTTGAATGTTGTTCCAGATAGCTTTCCCTCCTACTATGATGGCAAGCTGGGTTGTGAGCTCGAGGAGACATCCACCTGGATCACACTGAAGGTTAGGAGAGACAGGAAAATGTTTTGAAGTTGGGTAACTTTTCAGGCATGAATGAAGCATTTAAAATTATGCATTACTGGTTTACTGTAATAACATTACTGAAAGCAACTGAAGAAGACTGTCTAGGCAAACCTTTCCAGTAAGGTATGCAAAAGCAAATTCCAGGCCACATATGGCAGGTTGACAGAACACCAGTGAAAGAGTGAAATACCAGGTGAAGTCATGCAGCTCTGTGCTATCACCAGGTTAGGGTCACCCAGTAAAATATGAATGCTTCTGCTGATATTCTCTCCTTTCTGTGTGCCCAGTCACAGATTGTAGGACCATGGTGAAATACACTTTTCTGGGTATATGTAATACATTTCTAAGCCCAATTGGTCTTGAGCCATATTCTTTTATGCTAGAGGCTAGGAGGCAATTAGCTTGGGAGGCAGTCACTTTTTAAACCCTAATGTTAAATATGTACAACTATGTTTTGCTTTATACATTCCTAACTGCAGCACAATACTCAGACTAATTCTACATTCTACATTCTTACCTCTTCATTGCGATACTTTCCTAGCCAATAAACTGGACTTCCAGGGTGACCTACAAATTTACCCTTAAAGAAGGCTATGTAGAAGCATGAAGAATAGTAGTTGACAAACTGGAACAAGAACATCTTTGTGGTCAGACTGTTTTCATAATCAGTCTGTGTCCTTGGAAGTTCTGCAATGAAGGAAAAGTTAATAAAGAATAAATTAAAAAAAACCAACCCAACCAACAAGCTGTTCTAGAGCCTCAGCTGCAAAGTATCTTTGTGCCTCATATTCCTTTATAAACTGAGAGCATTATCATTTAGATTGTACGTAATCCCCATGTATACTGTAACCATCATATAATTCTAAAGCTGTATGGGTTGTATAAAGAAAAGAACTTGTTCCCTGACAATAAAGAACGAGAAGAAGCAAAAATTCTAATAACTCAGGGAAAGAAAAAGCACCCAAATCCAGCAGACTCAGGCAAGATGCAAATGTAACACTTTGGACTGATGAAACAGTATTAAATGAAAACACCACACTACTTCATGCATCTAAAGTAAAAGAGCTACTTTAATGCTGACGTCCTCCATATAGAGAATAATATTGCTCGTGATTGTTTATCTATTTAACAACATCAGAGTGGTATGTAGCTTTGGAATGGTGACCTTAGTTCACTTATTTACAAGAAAATAGCTATTTTCCCCATAAACAAAAGCCAATATAATTGAATGTGTTATGCCTTGCTGATCTGTTTTCATAAAGCTTGGTTGTTATAGTAATTTTCTTTGCTTTGTATGTTTCACAGGCACAAACAACTGATCTTTCATGCTGCCTATGTAAGGACTTTTCAGGCAAAGAGCTGAATATCATATTTCTCTGATATTGACAGAATCTATATTGGAAAATTTCTAGGTGGTATTGTGTGATTTTGTGGGAAAATTCTGAAAGATGTGGTACAGGCATTCATTTACTCTAATACCTACTACACATATAAATGCTAAATTTTCTAGCTATTTTACCCCACATTTCCATCTGAGGTACAGCAGCAGCATACCGAAGTCAGTGATCACGATTGCCACTTTTTCATAGATGATGTTGAGAATCATAATGACAATGAAGCTGATGAGTGAAGCAGTTACTGATGTGGCTGTCTGTGGAGTCAGGTACTTGCGGATGGCCTCCGTTCCACTGATGTGCTGTGACAACTTTGCAGAGAACACCAGGAAAACTGAGAGCCTGTAGACAATGATTCCAACAACTGAAGCAATAATCAAAAGGATCTGCCAAGGGAATGCAAGAAAGATGTTCATGTTCAACCACCAGCATTAGGAAAAAGTGAGTTCAAAGCACTTTTTATGATAGGCAAAAGGAAAGCAATTTTGTGACTGTCATTCCATTGCAAGAGGACGATCAAATAAGATGCAAAGCAATAAATAGCAAATCCATAAAAGAAGCCTTTTTTCATGTAGCATAGTAAATCTGCAGGAAAAAAAAGAGATGGTCTGTTTTATGACTAATAACCAAGTTTATAGTGATGTAATCAAATCTTGCACCTCGAGGCATGTGATGGGAGAAAACTCTTCATATTGGACAGTTGGCAGGATGGCAAATGTAGCAGAGAGTCAACACTGATTATGGAGGGGGTTGCACTTTCTCTTCCACATGATACTATTATAGACTACAGACCCCTCAAAGGAATAGAAACATTTTAAGCCAAGTCATGTAGTCTGCAGTTGCAATAATGATCTCGGTATCCCATCTTGCTTGCGATCTCCTCTTTCTGCTTCTCTTCCTGCTTTTGTTTCTTGCTAGTTCTTTAGATATTATTCAGCTTAAAGGTCACGGGCTGTGTGTCTTATTTTCACTATCTCAGCAAACTGCCATGAACTACCTTCCCTGACCCCACACACAGTAACTATGCAGTAACACAAGGGACAAACCCAGAAATCTCTTCCCTCCAACATGAAGTCTGACCTATTTAAATCCAACTGCAAATCAGTATTCTTTCCTTTGTGTTTCAAATGTGTCAATGCTGAGGCTCTCCTGGGCTGCCAGACACTACTCTTTCTCCTGTCTGCATTCTATCACCGAGAATGAGGTCTTTTCCAGCTGCTTTTTGTGCTACAGATGAGGAGGACTTGCAGCATGCTAAAACCCAGAGCTTTTCAAGGCAATCTCTCTGAGCCCGCTCATTGTGTTATATATTGTGTCATGGTTGACTGGACTGCTTTCAATGTTTAGTTTTAATTAAAGTAGCAGTTCTGGAAGATTAAAGAGCACCCAGCTTTGCTCTGTTAAGTGAAACACAAAACCTGAAAGAGGTTGGGGACTGTGAGACACAATATGGAGGAATACAGCTGGAACAAATCAGACAGAAACAAGCAGGGAGGAGAGCATATAAACCAAAGTCTTCCCCTCACTGCCCCTTTAAAGTAAAGACATTTGTCTTAAAATAATGAAGAAAAAACCAACGGACCACCTTCACAAGCATAACTCACAAGCTACAGCTGCAAGATATTTTGATACTGTATGCTAATAGTATTGGGTGACTACAGCTACCTTCTCCAAGTGGGTCCATACCTTATGGACTTGATTTATGCACGAGATGGAAATTCAACTGAAACTGTTCCATTCTCATTTTTTGTTCAGTTCAGGAGGATCATTTTTTAGACATTTATTAGAAAAGTAAATTTATGACAGGAATGAATAAGAGAAGAACTTTACCCAGAAGAAGATGGCACTTGTACAGAAAGTCATTCGTACACACTTCCCACATGCAGTGTATGGCACATATTCTTCTTGCTGTAAAAGATTAAGAAATAGATCAAGGATGCACACAATCTTCTTTCATATTTTTCGTGTGCTCCAATTAAACTCATGATTATACTGAGGGCAGAAAAAAAAGGAAAAAGTACCTTGTTTTGTTTCCTGGAAACTCAACATTTATTCATGATTTCAGAAGTCTTGCCTGATTACAGGTGTCTTTTTTTGCTGCCCCTTCTAAAATAAAAATGACTTCCATAGAGGTAGAGGGTCCTCAGCTCTTATTGACTTCAGCCATGACAGGGTGCATAGTCCTTTTGAATGGACCCATCCTTCTTGGCTGATCATGGTATCCAAGGTCATTATCTTTCAAACTTCAATGGCTAAATTTAGCAGGCACTAAAATTTTTGTCCTTGATGTCTGTACTTCTCAATGTATTCCATATGAACAATGGGATGGCTTCCCCAAGGAAAATGACTACCTCAATGTGGTACTGTGAAAATTCACTGAGTCTTTAAAGAATCTCTGAGGATCAAAATAAAATATTTTAGCATATTCCTCATTCTTTGAATGGTCTGAAAGGAAATTTCTAGCTATGACTTTATATAGTCAAGGTGGCATAGGTTTATAAGCTTTTAAACAGGAGGAGTCTTTTGACAGCATAAGATATAAAAAGAAGATCTATATAGGATAGTTTCAATTATGGCAGTTAATTTTGAAACTTTTCAAGTGCCCTCTAATAAACATTAGTATAACGTGGATGGAATGTGAAAGCAGTGCAAATGATTAGATAAAAGACAGAGTAATCTATTGACAGAGAATAATAAAAAGTGAAACTGAACTTGAGTAAGCCGCCAAAGCTAAAGATACTCAATTGTATAATAAATAGGAATCTAAAATAAGATCCTCATAAATATGAATCCTCTGTCATTGAAATAAGGTTTATCCTTATCTCTGCAAGTTTGTTGTTATTAATCATAATTTCATCCATATACACTTAGGAACAATAGCTATTTATACATGTTTTAAACAGAAACATCTTCTGTTAAGAAAATATATAATAATGCAACGTTTCCCTTATTCACCATTTTTCCTGATGCATTCCTAGGCAAAGATAGCAAATGCTCTGTGATCTTGGCCTCTGGAAGCAACAATTAATAATTTCTTGGGGGATTTAATAAAGCAGACTTAGTCTTCTAAGCTGGGGAGAATACCTATTTCTTTTTACTTAAGGCAAAGGAACCTCAGCAGTGCAAGGTCCTCAAACAGGCAACTACTTTAAAGTGCTTTTGGTTGTATGTCAGTTCCCTCTCCCTGCATCTGTACTTTATCAAGTCACTGTTTTCAGGCCAGCTTATCAATTTGAGGCACTGCTGATTTATAAAGCTCCAGTCCCGATTCACCATTTTCATAGTGTCTGCTCACAGCCTGTCTGTAGCAGTAACCATCATCAGTTATCAAAATATTTCTTACCTGTGTGATTTCATTCATCACTACATGAGTGCAGCGAGCTTCGTATTCTGGGCGAACTTGCTCTTCTTGCTCCAAGTACTCAACTGTGTCCCATTCATACTCCAGTTCAGCCTGCCGTCGCTTCCAAAACTCCAAGAAAAAAGTAACTATCCAAATGACAGACAAAATGAGCAATATCACATGAGTACTGGATACTGCTTGACCCCTCTGGGCTATAACACATGGCTGAGTATTCCATACAACTTTTCATAGACGTGGAATAAAACCTTTATTGGCTAATGCAATGGTGAAAACAACTTTATGCAATTATGCTTTTTGATGTATATGTACTTTAATATGAGAAATCTAAGGTAAATGGTGGTGTAACCACATGCTAAATAATTTATATACTTCATCTATGTATTTTCTTCCTGCCTAAGGCCAAAATATGAGCACTTTGGATTTCACATTACAGACTGCTTTGAAAAGGTTTAACATGGGATGCTTAAGAAACTAAGTTGTTTGGATAGAAAAATTAAACTCAGTATGCTAAAAACTGTTGCAGGGAAGAACTCATGCTCATTCACGCTGCAATTTTTGTGTACCAAGTTATCAATTTTCAGACTACAAAAACAATGTTTGTTCATGTAAAACTGCTTAAATACAGCTTTCTTTCCTCCTTGGCTAGCACAAACCTGAAGAGACTGCAGCTCTTTTGTATGGCATGAAGTTCAGAAACTCCCTGGGCTGGGCCAGCTGCTTCCCTGGACTGTGCCCCTGCAGCTGGAAGCATTGTGGGGTCAGGTACACAGATGTCTAAGTGGTAACAGTTAAACATGAATCCAGCCAAACTCATTACCGTGTCCCAAGACATTACACAGGCAGATCTGGCAGCAGAGACAATGACACACCCATATGGGAAGGCTGGGAGGAGCTCAGGATGCTGGATGTCAGTACCATGCTCCCTGGCACACCCCTATACTTCATTCTTGAAGAGGGTGCAGTCTCAGATTAAGTGAGTGGTGTGGCTCTGCATCACTGTTTCCAGGAGGAGTAGTATCCAATCACTGCACTCTTGTTTCTCTCATTGTCTGGGAGTAATTAACCCTAAAATTGTTTTTCTTTTTTTTTACTAGTTTGGCCCCTCATTCTGAATGATGAAACCTCAGCGGCATGCAGTTACAGGTCCAAACTTTAAAGGTTATGTCTAAAATCAGGTGTGGTTGAAAAATCCCAAACTGACACATTTTAAACCCAGGAAACTCCATCGGCTGGGCTGCGAGATGACCTCAGCATCTGCAAACAGGTAAAACTCCAGAAAATCCTGCTCCCCCGATTATTCAGGGGCCTCTTTCACAAGGACTTCTCCACTACTTTATGCTTAGAAGCAGCAAGGACATTGCAAGCAGTGGACCAGAGGGTCTCATCTGCTTTCTCCTGCAGAGCAAGGACATTAGTCTTCCATAAACCTCTAATTGCTGCCCAGCTGAAATCACAGGAACCTACAGGCTATACTGATTTGTTCCAGCTGCAAATTCAGCTGCTGCAGGAGAGGCCAGAAGTAGAAGGACTCAATGTGTAATGGAGTCTCATGTGCTAACTGTGACAGAAGGGCACATAAGACAGGGACAGCTCTCCCAGCCCCCTATCAGCCAAGTGGTGTCTTTCAGAGCAGGAAAAGAGCTCCTGCTAGATTTGCTATTTTCCTTTTATTTTGAAGCAAGATTGTTTCAACAGTGGAAACAAATGACATTTCAGAATCAGGAAATCAAAGCAGTCATTTCACATCATATTGAATGGTGTCCCTTTTGTGTGCCTCCCAACACTGCCCCTCAGGATGGCCCAGGTATTCTGCCTCTGAAGCTGCGTCATCAAGGTCTGAGAAGTGCCTCCATTGGAGAACATTTCTTGGTTTAACTGATCTTGCTCAGGGAGGGGATCCAGGAATGGCAGCAAGTGAAGTGGAAGCTGCCTCTTGCTCTTGACCTTTGCCCATCTATTCTTACCATCAAAGGAAGAATTGGCAGAGCATTAATGCATAAAAAGGGCTAACTCCTGAGGCCAAATTCCCTGGTGTTTTACAGTGTTTTAAGATTTTTGAAGGGAACACACACAAGAAAATATGCACTTATTAGAAGTGTATTGATGATAATGATGCAATAATATATCTAAGAGTCTAATATGAATTTTAATTGTTTTGGACAAGGAGGTCGATAAAAGTAATAGAGTAAGATGAAAATTACAGCTGGAATTACACCAGGACCATGGGTCATTTGGATTCACTTCAATTTTGGTTGAATTTCTGTAATATAACTCACCTCTTTGTATAGAGGACTTACAACAAGAATACTAATAGACCTTGCAACCACCTATATAGCCATGCATGGAGGGAGCAGAAAACATTTATAAAGTAGGGAGCTTCTCTGTGTCCCTAGAACAGGCCCCATGGAAAACCATAGCTTAAAGATAAGAAACTGCTTGTTAAATGATGAATTCAAAAAGGAATTCAAACCCCCATTAGTGGACGCCCTGTTATTTATCTGTAATATTGGTGGTTCATTTTTCTTTAGTATCTATAGGCTAGTTTTGAATGTAAAATCCTTCGGGGATTGGTTAGAATGTAGAATTCCCTTGGTAATTGGTACAAAATCTAAAACCCTCAAAAGATATAAAAACCCCTGAAAAACCCCAACTGTTGAATATGTTAGACTGGATACCTTCATAGAATAAACTATGGAATTGCGCCTCTCTTCATGTTCCCATCTCTTCACCCTGCTGGCTTGAGAGTGCGCCGCAAGCCACATTCTATCCAGGCAAGGCTTGGGAGCGTGCTCTGTCCCGAGGACTGCTTTGGCAGTCTCAGGGATCCCAGGGGGACCCCAGAAACACTGCCAACAGCCATGAAGCTTAAATTTGTAACTATTGCTCCTGGAATCATTCTTCAAAACAGGAAGCACAATTTTAATTAAAAACCAAATTGCCAATAAATTAACTCTTGACATGATGTCAGAAGATTACATTAGTATCAAACTTCTAATAACTTTTAATTTAGTGAATTCCCTGCTAGTATTTTGACTTTAGCATATGTTTTGGAAGAAAACTTCTTTCTGAAATTAAACATTTCATCTTACATTTCTTTAAAGCAAGCTTCTTTTGAAGCACTTTCAGTCATCATAGGGAAATAAAAATACAATATATTTCACAAAGAATGCAAATTTTGTATTCTTGTCAGCCTCCATATGAATTCAAAATATTACATGAGATACATTCTCTATAGCACCCTGTACACAGACTAACATGGAATTACTGGAAAAGACACTGCAATAAAAGCTAGCTAACAAAGCTGTTAATGTGAATAAAATAAATTATTTCTAGGAAAATAAACGTTGCCTAATCCCTTAAATATAGCACCGAGTGTTTTCACCTATGGAAAACATCCTGGTTTCATATACATTTTCCCTGCTAAAAAATAAATCTAGCGCTTGTAACCTACAGCACTTTTTAAAATAAGCTTCTTAAATAAAGACAGCAGGAAAAAATTCCTGCAGGAAATATAACAAATTACTATTTTTCAATTGAATTGTGCAGTTACACAGCTGTTAATAGCACAAACATCTCCACAAGTCTTTGGGAAAATACCCCAGCTCCTCTGACAGATATACTTAAGCATGTGGCTGGCTCCTGCTGGATGAACATGTGGCTGCCTTAACCATTTTCCTCAGACATTTCTTGAAGTCATCAAAACAGAACAGATACTGACGACAAATATTTAAGACTGCAATTTTTTGTTTGATTATGATGAGTTCCTGTGAATGTGCTTGTTTTCTATGGGACTACTTTTGAGTGAATTCCTAAGTGCTAACAAATAAAGTCAGTGCAAATTTATCCATGTTTTCTTGGCTAATGCTGGAGGCATGGCCAAAATTAGATAACAAACCACAGTTGTTGAAATCGACTTACCCCATATTCCCATAAATACTGCAAACACCAGTGTTCCAAAGCTATCAAATACACAGAGTTTCTGGAAAAGTGGAAAAGAAAAAGAAGTCTTAAAATACAACCGAGCATTTTTATTCTTCTACACCAACCCAGAAGAGAACCCAGAAGCTGCTTACTGAAAGTGCTGATTTTCAGTTTTTATGTAGTTTTATAAACAACCCTTGTGGATAGTGTTTCCTCAATTTCTGTCCATGCACACTGCTCTCCAGTAAATCAAGGAAATTAAATGCAAAGTTCAGAATCAAAAATAAAAGCCATATAGACATTATGAGGGATAGTAAAATGGTGTGCTATCAAACTTCCAGCTCTTGCATACTAAGAGGAAAAACAGTGCTTCTGGTCTGAGAACTCAGTATAGAATTATGGATTTTTAGAAGCCACTAAGGCCATGGACACATCTGGTTCTCATAAGCAGGATATCAAATAAGTTAGTTAGGAAAACCACACTGATGAAATACCTCTGTGGTAACTCTCTCCCTTTTTTTCCCACCATAGCCTTTTCCCTGCATTTTTATTTCTTTTACCATGGAAGTGTGCTGATGCAACACATTAAAGTTGGGCAAAATAATTTTTGTTGAATAGCTGAAAAATCATAGTTTTGGGACTGAATCTACAGAGAGGAATGCTGAAAGGCTAACATTAGCTTAATGAGACAAGGTAATGGGGAAAGAAAGTGAGGTTCCTTTTGACAGGAATAAAGAGCAGATAACAGGACATGGCTGTGTCAGAGCTTCTGTCATAGCCAATGCCAGCCTCTCCTTATACCCATCTTCTCCTTGGCAACATGGATCAAATTCAAGGCATAGATCCAGATAACTTCTTCATGCAGGGAAGAGGCAGAAATTAGAAATGTCAAAACAAGCTTTAAATGTTTCCTTCGAAAAACTGATTCAGAGATACTGAATCAAGTCTTTAGCTGAATCTTCCCTCAAAAAGAAGTAGTACCCCCAAATGAAACCAATTTTCAATTAAAATAACATTTTATTCTCATACCAAATATCAGCAGATATATGAAATAAAAAATTTAAAATTTTTAATCTTAGATCAAATTGGAGCAATTAATGTTGGGTTTAGTTTTTGAAGTGGAGTCACAGTATCAAAAAGAACAACTATTTGAACATTTTTAGCAGTTCTCAGGACATTAATGGAGGACCAACATTGCTTTATATGTAGTACTAGAGAAAGCGCAACCAAAGTTCAAATGTGTGTTTACAAGCTGTAAATGTAGTTACCTTGGATGATTCACAAGTGATGGTGAGGTTCCAGTAGGTACATACTTTATCACACTGAGGGCACATTATGATATTACCTCCTATGTTGGGGTCACATACTTCTTGGCTAAAAACAAAACTAGTCAGTCACTCACCAACACTAAATTCTTTAGTCCTTTTTCACACATGAAGACAGTGTAATACTCTCAGGGAATTAAGGAATAATTTACCAGTGATCTGCACTCAAGAATTCCACCCCCACCCCTTGCTGTGGCAACATATCTCCATTTCCATTCATAGTCCTCATCTCAAAAATGGATGACACATGAGGAAAATAATTTCCATCCCTTGTACGTGGTGGTAATTCTCAAAACTACCCACACTAAAAATAAAGCAGTTTTAAAAAGATCTCACAGTTTTCAGTAGGAAACCCACAGCTGCATGTTCACACGTGCTACTGTAGCAGGTCTGAAGGGAGAAGGAAGAGCAGCACTGCTTAGCAGAACAAGGAATAGCTGCAGAGCCCAAAGGACTGCCCGGTCCCCGTGGTCTGCTAAACAGGATCAGACTGGAAATTGTGCAGAGTGGAGCTGTTGCTTATGATTCAAGGGTTTGCAGGTGTGTCTCCTAAGAGATGGCAAAGGAGCTGCCATCTCATAGGTACTAACCCAGCATGGTGGAGGCTGAAAGGTGACGAAAATACTTTGTAGATGTACATCAAGGGGGTAAACACCAGGGAGGGAGCTGAGCTGTTTAACTAAATTATAATACTGGCAAAAAGCTAAATGGGTATAAATTGGGCACAGGACTGGAGCTATGGAATGGATTCAGCATGGATTATGAACACCCTTCCAGGAAGGGGTATACAACTGCATGGCCTGTAGGTCCTTTGACACAATGCCATAATTTTTTTTCCCTGGGTCATTTGGCCATGATTGAATTTTGTTGTGCTCTGATGAGAGAATCTGTGTCATGGCTATGCCTTGCCTTCCAAGGTATCCTAAACAGCTGAAGGCCCCTGTGCTGTTGCTTTTCCTATATTTTCCCAAATTAGAGGAAAGGCATTTTTAACGTCTTTGGGTATCTAGTTTAAGAATTACCACAGTGAAAATTATGTCTTATGGCAATTTGTATTGACTTCAAATTGTCACTCTTTTCTTTGTGTTTCTACACTAGGTATGGTGAACTTCATGCAAAATATAAATAAAATTATGAAGTAGCAAAATCCTAGATGTCTATCACCGTAATGGTCCATGAATATCTATTATTTATCCAGTATTTTATATCTTTGCCTTCAAATCCACCATAGCAGTTGTTCTCAGGCCCTTTGATTTTGCCTCCTTCATTAAGCAGTGTCTTGCAAATGCTGTACTGTTCCCCTGACCAAAGCTGCATGTGATATTGAACTAGGCTTGATCAGGTACCTCCATGTGCAGTTGTCCTTTGTCAGGCATCCATACAGGAAACAGCCAACTCCTACAACCGCAGCCACAGTCAGCATATTTGTATAAAAGCCCAACCAAGCAAAGTAGATGCCAATTTTCTCTCCATAGTATTTCCTGTGGAGGAGAAAGGTGGCAGGTTTTTTTGTTTGTTTTTTGGTTTGTTTTGTTGCATTTTGTTTTGTTTTTTCTGAAATGCAAATAAATTTGCATTTCTGTTTCAAATGGCTCTTCACACATTTTATGCCAACCCATATTGTAATATTCCTCTGGTTTCAACTTTGGGATTGTAGTAGTATTGCATGCTTTTGCAAAAGGATAAAAATGGGGGGGGGGAAGAAAATTTTTCAGTGGTTGGCTTTTCATAAATCAGCCCAATGAAATCAATCTCAAATTATGCTCCTGTGCATGAGCTGATCTGGCTGTATGTATCTTCCCTCAGAACTGACCTGTGTCTCTTTGACTTTCCCAAAACCAGACCTATTAAGTAGAATTCTCATTCTCCCTGCATTAGTCCAGTGCCAGTTACACCAACCTGATGAAATCCAGGGGCTGCAGTTTGAAAATGTTTTTAGGATGAGCCCATTCTCTGTAGAGGAGATACCGTTCACTTGGGCAGTTGGGATCCATTGACAGGTGCCTAAAACTTGACTGCAAAACAGCATGAGCATGAGAAGATACCACTAAAATCTAACCAGTGCAGCTCATCTCTCATCTCTACAAATGATCTCTATGCCATGAAGCTGAAGTCTAGAGTCACCTTTTAGACAGTCTTACTGCAAGCCAGGAAAAGGAGCAACAGCTCTGAGAGCACACCAGGATTCAGGACAGAAGATTGTCAGGAAGGCACTGAATGCTAAAGTAGATGCTGTACATATGTGAGCTGAAAATAACAGAGACTCATCATGAACTTAATCTAAGCACATGTCAGCATCTTGGCACTTAGGAATAGGAAATTAAAAGGGATCCATTCTAATTAGAGAACAAGACTGAACTAAAATGGATTTTAAGTAGCTTTAACATGCTATACATGCTTTGCTTCAAAATAATACTGTACTAGAATACAGGCTGGAAAGACTGAAGGAAAAATCCAAGGTCTCTAGTCTCTGTTTTAAACTTAAAAGAGGGTTCACATGGAGATAATCCTTGTATTTCTTAGCAGGCTATTTTTAAAGCTATCTCAATAAAACCTGTTTTATTTGAGATATTCTTCCATTCTATATCTGTGATCCAGCAAGGTAAGTGGTGTTTGTAGAAATCTATCTGCTACTTTTCATTTTCAGGGTAACTGTGATATATAATTTCAACTGTATCAAAAGACAGTCATTCATTACTAGTCATACTGAGTCCAAATTCCCCATGCCAAGATAGAAATAGCCTACAAAGCAGGTTTTAAATCTTTAAAAGGAAACCTTAAAAATGGCTAGTCACAAATTATATGAATTCTATTCTGTAAAACTTTGATTCCTTACAAGAAACATGGCTTGTCTTGATTCTGCCTTAAAAATTTGTTTGAAAACCTCCTAAATATGTTAAGCCAAGTCCATGCAGACAAAGCAGTTATCATTCCTGACCTCCCATGTTCTCAATGTCTCCTCGACAGAACACACCTTGGGCACAGAATGGTGGCTCTGAGGGGGACAAATTGGGATGTTGTGGTTATGCAATTGATAGAATACAGAAAATCAGCCCTCAGTCTTTGCATTCACAGCCTCACATGGAGTTTTTTCTTTGTCAAATATTCTGAAATCTGATTTTTTTTCTCCTTGATTTTTTTTGGTGCTATTGCTAGCTGTGGTATACAAAACAATTTTCAATATAACTTTTTTATTCAAATGATATAATTTAAAGACCTTCAGAAGTGTAGCTGCAAAAGCTGGATTTTTTATGATTGGGAGGTGAAACTGAAACTAGTGAAGCTTTTCCCTGCAAGATTCTGATGCCTGTGAGGCATTGGACTGGCTGAGCAGAGTCTTCCTGTAGAAACCTGAGTATCATGCATGTATGCTGCAATGTTTGGGAACCAAGGGACTGTTTCTCACTCTGCAAGATTTTCACACAACCTAAAATGAAATTTATAGCCTACATCTTTATCACCAATGTTGATAGGAATTTTAATATTGGAAAATTTCATACTAATAAAACACAGATTTAGGAGTGATAATGCAATGTATCACGGGAACTATCTCTCAGTCCAGGTACTTTACTGAAATACATCTCCCAGAGAATACAAGAACTCTGAAGTGAAATATATTGTTTTTCATTTATAGAAATGCATTTTTAACCAATAGTGCTTTGGAAGAATATCTCCTTAGCAAAACCACATCCTATTCTTCTATGCAGATAGGATACCAGCATAGGAATAAGGCAATGAATAGTGCTTGTATCCTTTGATATATCTAGAAGATGTATATACTGAGATATAGTTCAGACCTCTAGATATAGTATAGTTACCTCTACTGCAAAGTGTAGTTTAGTTACAAGCACTGGACTTACATCATGAAGGGGAAATGCTGCTTTGTAGATTCCAGTGTCCAGTAATTTGTTAATGCCAAACTTTTTCACATTATTTTTTGTTGCATATTCCACACGGGACAGGATAAAATGAACCTGAAATTTTAAAAAATATTTTTGTGTCCTTGCAACCTGAAAGAAATCATATACAACTATACCTGTCTCAGCATACAATCAAGTTAGGAAAGAGTAAGCAGTGTAGACAAAATTAACTGCATAGGGTATACAAACCATTCAAATCCCTCCTTTAAATTAAGGTGGAAAAGAAATAAGACAAATGTAAAGTAAAGTTTTCCTTCTGGATTTCCCAGGCTGTTTCATAAATTACACAAGACTATTGCATCCCAAACATTTTCAATTTTTTAGGATGTTTTAGTGAAGGTAATTACATTGATTTGATAAAAGGAATAGTTTTCTTTTTAAGAGTAAATGCTAGTAATACTCCATGGACTTACAATTCGGCTTCTAGTTGCAGGATTGAAAAATGTGTCTTTGTCTTGGATATAGAAGTTGGACAAATGTTCCTTTTGAAAAGGGGCAGTGAAAAACTCTTGCTCAGGTTTGATGATATTTTCATCCACCCTGAAGAGTCTACTGAACCAGTTGAAAGCTGAATCTCGGGTTTTCAGGTCATTGTGTTGCAGAGGTAATTTGATGTGCATAACCTCAGCGTACGTGCACAGCACTTCCCAAGGTGCATGCACTTTCACAAAAATAAGTTTCTCATCCAAAACCTGAGATGAAAGAATATTGAAAATAAGTACGTAAGCAAAGAAGTTCTCATTTATTTTAACAATTCTTGAACTATCTAGAATTTTCTTTCCCTTTACAGCTCATAGATGGCCTACTCAAAGTTGCATTCATTGTCCATCTCAGCAAATATATCATTGGCTTCTGTAAAAGCACTGACATGACAAAACACTCAGGCAGATGAAGGCATATAAAGGTATATAAAAAAAAACAGTTAAATGTTTCCTTAATTCTTAATGTTTACATCTCTGCAAAGTATTTTACGAAGCAATTTAAGTGTAACACTTTCCCTATATGGGGTCATTAGGACTCTTTTTACTTTTGACAGGGCAAGCATGGCTCTGGAGCTGCCAATGACTCCCCAGCAGCTCAGTTACAACCCCAGGGTGATGGGAGCAGGCTAGGCACTCATGGGTGCTCCTAGGCAACAAGAATTCCAAGCTTCCTAGAGAGAATGGGAAGAAGGAAAGGGAAATTAGATGAAGCTGCAGAAAAAGAGAGCATGGGGGAACATTTGCTCCCAGTGGAATGCCCAAACCAGCAGCAGTGTGCAGTGGGAACCCTGACAGACACTCCTGCCTCCTGTCTACATATGGCCTATAGATCTACTGCTGCCCTGCATTAGGGAGTGTCAGCCACATGAAATTTCCTCATGTAGCTCATTGGCTCAGGAACACTGGTCAGATATCTGATCTAGCCTGGGGAAATGTTCAGTTTCAAATGTTTTTCAGTCATAATCACAGCAGAACTAGTGATGATTGCAATATATAAGTATTGCACTGGGTCTGCAGCAGCCTTCCAGACAGCAAGCATTTACTTTCTTATGAATGTGAAGAGCCAGACTGCATTCTTGGACATGCAGCAGGAGCCCTCACTGCAGACAAATAAATACTGTGATGCAATAGATTCTGAGTCTAATTTGGGAGGAAGAGGCAAAGCGACCATTTCTGGAGCTCACTATACACTACCAAACTACAACAAATTTAGACTGGAAGTGATTGTCCTGGAGAGGGAGACACAGATGGAGCACTGCAGCCCTGCAGGATAGGAAAAAAGAGAAGGGATTTGGAGGGGCTCTAACCCTCCCTGCCAGAGACAGCAGCTCAGGCAGCTGGTGTGTATTACCACAGTGCTCTTGGGCTGCCTGAAGGCGACATCGTAGCCCAAAATACACAAAGCATGATAGAACCTCTTGCACAGAGTCAGGCCCTATGAGAAGCAGGGTCATGTGCAGGAGCCTTGCACTGGTCTTCTGGCAGGGGCATTCTGCATGCCCCAGACATATACTGGCTTCCCACTGTACTACACAGCCAGATTATGGGAAGTACCTCTCTGCAGGGTACGGACAGTAATTTTTATCTTCCAAGCTCTGAGCAAACATGACCTATGTAATATCCCAACTTCATGATGTAATCTTCCAGCTTCCCATCTTTTATTTTCCAGAGGAAGGAGCAGACATAAAGTTTAAAAAGATTTTGCATCAGATCACAAAGACACTGCTAACAGAAGAAAGGCGTGCCTTTTTTTCTTGAGGGGAGAGAAATCCTACAGTGAGTTCATATATCCAGTTTCCTTAATCCCACAGGGGCAGCTCTGCTCTCAGAACAGCCATTCACACAGCACTCACCGACCTCGTTGCTTCTAGTTGCAAGCCATTGTTTATCAGGTTTGATTCATACACTTGTCTCTTCTTCTGTTAAAAGATATTGGACACTGTAAACATCTGTTCCAAATTTCACAAATATGTATGCATAGAAAAAAGGAATTGCCTCCCAAAACCATCATTATGTTATCTCTATAGCCCACTTGATAGCTACTGTGGTGATACCTACAGTCCTACCTACTAATTAATCCTGATCAATTTTTTTTGTCTGATATGCAATATTGCCCTCAAAACGCAATTGTGGAGAACTTATCCTCTCAGTTTCTAGTACATTACAGAGGTGTAAGTGTGACTCAGATTTTGAAAATTTTGAAATCTACCCCTAAAATTGTGATCTCTTTCGCCTTTAGCCACTAAGTGAACTACATTAATCTTCCTTTAGAAAGTCTTCATCTCAAGTGCTTTCCATCCCACTGTCCTTCCAGAAACCTGTAACTTTATGCTTCTTTCACAGTAATTGTATGAGTTCACACAGTGGTTAAAACTGTAGTATCCCAATATATTTTAGTCCATTGATTACACCCCCAAAGGAAGAAGCTGAGAGCTGTAGCACTTGTAGTGTCAGTGGTGCTATTCCAGGAGTATTTAATGTCCCCAGAAAAACACAAGTTTTCCTCAGTAAAGACCAAATTTATGGATCATTTTAATTTCATTTCATAGTTATCAGAACTTGGCAGATCACGAGGTATAAAAAACCTGAAATCTCTTTGGAATCTTGAATCTGCTCTATACAGATTACCTCCTCCCAAGAAACACAGAAACATCTCCTTTCCCCTCAAATACAAAACATATAACTCCATAAGGGATTCATAAGAAATTTTGAAACTTCATGTGAAGCAATCAAATTTAAAAGCTATCTGCACCAACTGGGTAGTTCCTCAATGATTTATTTGTTTATGTGAGTCAAGGGTAGCTAGCTCTCCCTGAACTACAGACTGCATGTCAAAAAATCAGCATGGATAATGGGGGAACCTGTAGGCAGCTGGGGCTGGAGGCTCTTAAGTGAGCAGTTTGCTGAAGAAGATTACTTCAATCCACTAGGGACTGAGAGCTTTATTCCTGTACCAGGTTAGGCTAGGATTGCAGCGGGGTTCTTGGAGGGATGTGGGGATACTACTTTCTTACTCCCAGATTCTTTTCATGCCACTGGCCAATTTATTTGTCGATTAATATGTGCTTAAAGGATTTGGCATCTCCCACTACAGGAACTTAAAGAAGAAGGACACTGTTTTTTGTCGCGTGATCCTCTATAGCAATTCTAGCTGCCTTAAGATCTCTGCAGAGGATCCTGTTACACCTGTTGCTACCGTGAAGGACCAGAGTTGATGAATGACCCTCTGGATAAAGTCTTAAGAACATCGATAGGCACATAGAAAATGGTCCTCAGGGCTAGACTCGAGGCTTACTCACTCTAGGGGCAAAAAAGATGCATCAGCAAAAGAGTAAAAATCTTCAGAAGTTAAACAGGAACAGGTTGGTCAGTTGTATACCCAAATAAGTTTCATCTGGTTCTTGAATATTTTAAGATGGTTTTAAGTCCCCAAACAAGAAAATGCTATTTTTCCAAAATTCTAGCAAGTCTTGAAATTAATAATTATAGAACTGAATAACAATATGAACAGCCTACACCATTTATAGTTTTTTAGTTCTCAGCTGCAGCAGCTGCATGTGGCAATGACCTCAATGGACTAATTTCATATTTTGTGAAAAAGTATTTTTCTTATCTATTTTGGGTTTTCTGCCATTTTATTTTTAGTGCACATCACCTTCTATTTGAGCTAGGCACAAGAAGAGCCAAATATTTATCTTTTTTCTCTTGTCAATATTTATCACCTTTCTCCTTATTCCTTGCTTTTCTCAGGATAAAACCACAAACTCAGACTTTGATAGCACTCTCCATGTCTCAGCAATTCACTTGGCTACTGGTAATGGTATAATGCTGTTTATATTTTTTCCTTGTATATATAGATGTGTGTGTGTAATACAGACATTTATGATGTGTACATCTAATTATCTTTGTTGTACTGATAGCTCTAATTTGAAATCACAAATGTGAATAAGTGTTTTTCTTACAGTAATATCTTTTCTTGCATTTTCAAGATTTCATAGATAATAGTGTTCTCCACTCTCCTTTAAAGCTAAAGGTTTTCAGCTACCTCGTCTTCTAAGTAAACTATATAATGATTTCCTCTGCAATTTTTGTTTTATCAAAACTCCACTCTCTTACCAGTTCATTAATATATGTAGTGCACAACACACAGGAGTTTGTCACTCTAGTAGTAACTCTTCTGCCATTTCATCCCACCTCTTTGCTTCTTCCATATTCACATGGTTGTTTCTAAAGTGAATATTACTCAATCATGAAAATATTTCAACCCAAGCTGCACTTTGTTCCAGCAAATGAAACAGGCAAGGCCCTAAATACTGGTTTAATTTTCTGTCTAAATAGCATAAAAATACATGCAGAGCAATTCTCATTGAACAAGTCTAATACTATTCTTAAAAATATTTTAATCAGATTCCGTTAATAATTTATTATGGTGAGGACCTCCCAAAATTAATTTTGCCCTCAAAATCTTAGATGAATTTATTGACAATATTAAGATTTCTAATAATGCATGAATTCAAGCAGTGAGAAACAAAGCCTCTGGGAGGCTTTGCTAATTAGGGGCTTTGCTATTTTATATAAATGATTGAATTATGCCTATAGTGATCTATGGAGGAGCTAGACTTTTACCCAGAGGAGTCTACAGTAGTTTTGCATTGACTGGGGAATACAGTATATAGATATAATAGTTTATTAAGCTGGAAGGTGGAGACCATCCAAAGTTCATTTTAGTATCTGTCATTTTGCTCAGCTACCTGCAAGGCTAAGTTGCAATAATAAAGTAATCATGGTAATGCTGCTGATCTAAATCTGACATAGGTTTTGATGATTGAATGGCTAGTCAATAGACTAAGACACCACAGGATGCATAATCATACACAGTCTTAAGAAACTGAAATTAGAATGTAAGTAAACGCCATGTTTTACAGGCATGTGGGAGGATCAGCTTTTGTGAGCTGCTTTTTAACCATGGTGCTTTCAATTTCTGGTGATTGTCTTGCCAAGTTGAGGAGATTAACAAGATTGTGGGTCTGGAAATTGGTAGCAGACCAGTAGCACTTTTCCCCTTGTGTGTTGTAAATAGTAGGGAAGACTTGCTTTGATTACAGTGACAGCAGAACACCAACACATATCTTTGCTAAGTTTCTTTTGTGCAAAGAGAAATGTTCCCTACCACAGTATCCATGTGGGTTCAGGGGAAAAATCTTAACAAGAAACAGAGCTTGAATGGCCTCCTCTGCCTTACCTGACAGGCAACAGATAAATCAGAGTCAATAGGAGAAATAACATGGGCCCAAAGCCTCCCCTGGAAATCAGCTGCAGGGCATGAAGAGGATCATTGTATCAATATTAGCTGCCTCACAGTTTCTTTGATGGTATTTGGAAGCTTTCCTCAAAGTCCCAGCTGTCAGCATCAGAAAATTAATTGATTGAGAAGCTCTGCTCTGTAAGCTTCTTTCCCTTATGTTTGAAGACGAGCATAAAAATGTGAAGCAGGACATGCTATAGAGGATAAGCCCTCAAAAATGCAAACCCAAAGAACTCCAAATACATATTTTCTGATATACCCTTTGATTTTAAGCCAGCTTCATGGTTTTATGAAATCTGATTTGTGACCACACTGAATTGGTAATACTGCAGTCTAGCCCTGCCCTAAGCAAGGGCAGCCACCCTGTTTGGAAAGACCCATTCCTGTTCTACAAATGTATGTAATAACTGCACAGTAACTCCCTCCTTTATCCTTCTTCATATTATTCTGTCATCCTTCCTTCCAATGTAGTAAAATTTGGGTTTGTAGTTGCCTCAGGAACGGAGGTCTTATTTCAGTGAGTTTCTGCTTCAAAACCAAACTAACCAGCAGAGATGAAGGCAGATGTGGCCACCCTCCTCCCAGTGCCAAAGGTCCCTTCCATACTTGTTACCAGACTTCCTGAGTAGGTTGGCTGAGCATGCCAAAGGCATGCAGAGCCTGTCATTCTCATCTGCCTCAAATCACTGCATAAAATGGCACAGAGGTACCTTTTACCTGTAAATACAAGTGCTGCTATCTCACTGCAAGTATGACACATGCTAAGCAGTGGGATAAGTATAATTCTTGTTTGAAATGTTACCCAAGCTTATTTTTGGTCCTATTTTAAAATTTTTTGGTTTTATTGTTGTTGGTTATCTGAACTAGACAAGTTTAGAGACAGGAACTGTTCATTGTTTGCTTATGAAAACAAAATTCTCCAGCTCTGCTGAAGTTCTCAGTAACACTGTACTTAAAAAAAACCCAACGAGTGTGTGTAATGTTCTCCATGAGTGATAGTTTCATTCAATTTGGAAAAAAAATCCATCTATTTCTGAGAAGAACATATTCCTTCATGGCTGGAAAGGAAGGTTTTGCCCACATTCCAGTTTAAATTACTGACAGTCTATGTTTATTTCTGTTGGGGGGGAAAGAGATGGACTAAAATAACATTCTGCATTGATTTATTTCGAATTTACCTTTCTGGCCCTGATCCTTTGACTTTCAATGGTGAGCTCCTTGAGGACCCCAACAGATGAAAGTGGTATTTGGGAGCATTCCTGAAAAGACTGGGGATATTTAAATTCTATTCCGATGGTAAGCTACCATGACAGATAGGGTACATAAATTGCAGGTTTAAAAGATATGCTTTGAGCAAGAATTTAAATTGCTTGCAAGGTATAATTTCTGGAATCTTCTCCTGGCAGTCTCATTCTTACTAGTACTTGCAAAATTAATTGTATACTAATTTTAAAAAGCTTGGAGTTTGAATTGAATTGCATATTTGAAACTTACTTACTAGCTTTTGGATCTACAGATTATGTTTAAAACTTCCCTGGAGTTGTCATTTCATTAGTTTGACTTTGCCTCCCCTACACCAGATTTCAGAAACAGATGAAAATAAGAGAAGCCCTGTGGATCTCCAAGAGTTTCAGAATCCCGTATTTTTATTCCTTCTAGCAGATCATACCCATATTTTATTTCCTGCTATTCTCTGAGATATTTTCCCAAGAATACTGCTTATTACTATAAACTAATGCTGAATCATTCAGTTACATTTATCTGATTCTTTGGAAAAATAATAGAAAGCCATTCAAATCAAACACAATGCTAATCCCAGGATCTGAGTCTTCTCCTGCTGCAGAAGAACACATGGATCTGTTTTTCTGAATCCGGGAAATTGGATACCTAGGTTGTGGCCTGATTTTCAAATCCTTCTGTCTAAATTCAGTAAGAATTTGAGGACTCTTCCACATTCAGTATCATTAAAAAACACCCACTGCAGCACACAAAACAATTCACTTCAGAAATCTACAGATACTAATAATTTGAATTCTGAAGTGACTTCCACATCATGCAATTGGGTGGGGTGCTGTGTGTGTCAGACAGAATTTTTCCCAGTGACAAATCTCTAGATTTCACAGACCTGTAACACCGTATACAACCAGTGGAAAACTTGCTCCTGACTCCAGTGAGATGAGGATGTCACCCTATAAGAACAGACTTCACTGAACCTCCTATTTTTCAGTAAGCTGGAGTTTCCAAATTCTGTGCACAATAAAGTTCTGGATAATAGCTCTATGAAACTGTCAGGGAAGTCAAAGAAAGAGTAGCATGGGCAAGGAACCTTATCTACACATAAAACACACTGAATCACACAAGATAGTACTTATAAAATCTGGCATTTTCAGATCATCATTGATCAGACAGTGATGTAGGCAGTATTTAAAATTGATTGTATGTGGCAATGTTCCTTATTTTGGTTGCATTTCATCACAAGGGTAGAAGTAATTTGTCTCAGAAAAATAAACAACAATGTCACTAAAGACAAGCTATCAAGTAGGTTTTATGCCAAGATTGATGGAATCTGAGTGTATCTTGGGCAGCACTAACTCCACACCATTCAGGGAACTGTGGTAGGCCAAAATATTAATTTCCTTCCTGGAATTCAAAAGATGTAAAACTTCACCATATATGTAATCTTAATTTTAATCTCAGATGTAAGATATAGGTGTACGGTCCCCCTGTTGCTTCAGCTTCTACTTTTCCATGGAAATACTGGTTTTGGCTTCCCTCTGACATATCCACATCACCCTAGTCTCGTGTGTCACTCTCCTGGCTGTACTTCTGTCCATACAGGCTTTGTTGGCCACCTTGCTGTCAGGCTGCACAGCTGGCTCTTGTTCAGTTTGCTCTCCACAAAAACCACTAGGGCCTCTTCCACAGAACTGCTCCCCAGCCACTCTGTCTTCCCCTTATCTGGTCATTTCCCTGATATGGTCTTTGTTGTGTAGGTAGATTGCTTCCTCCTCCTCAGCACACCATCGAATCAATGTGGCTGCAGACCTTTGAAAGTAAAGTTTTTATGCAAGCACCTACCCACAATCTCCTGGTCTAATTATTAATGTTTTCATTCTGGCTAATGTCTTAACATTAATGCTGCACTGAAAATGCTACTCCACTGCTCACATTTAATTTCCATCACTACTTAGAAAAGATGCTCATTATATTTTTAATATATTTGGGCAATGGCCAAGTATTACAAACATAAATGTAAAATGCTAATTGATAAAAACAATTCTTTCCAAAGGGGCAGCTTTTTTGTCTAATTACCTCTTTCAATTAATTTATATTGCTGATCCTGTGATCATGTGTAATACAACATCCACCCACGGCAGGACTCCCTCAAACCCTACTAATGACATTCCTTATGGCTGTCCTGTTAATGCCAACAACAACACTGTGTAATGAGTATCAACCAACTTAGCTACAGGCTTTTTTACTCCTACTCCTCTATTTCCTAACTGCAAATTATTATTTGTATATGAGCTTCTTTCAGTGATATCTTTGTCTCTGCCTGTCTCTACCAGAGGCTGCTGCTGGAACATGGATTATTACTAAATCAGAGGAGGATGTGGGTGGGTGGCTGGGGGAGTGCAGATGCCAAGGGAATCTCATGCATACTTCTCAGACAGTTCAGTGGCATGGCTGAGCTCATTTTTGTGAGCCTGCATGTCATAATGAATGTAGTCTTCTGATGGAACTGATGACATAATTAAAGAATAATAGATAATCTATTATTGTGCTTCATTGCTAAGGAGCTATGGAGCTGTGAATGTTAAGGAACATCAAGAAGTCACTGACTTGAGTCAGAAACTTTGCAAGGTCTCTAGCAAGGGTAAAGCTGGTGAAGTGCCAAGGGAAAGAATTGTACAGGGAGAAATTCTGGTGGCAGATGTACAATCATTTCCCTTAAACAACTTAGCTATCTTATCAGAAGTCAGCAGAATGTCGGCAGCTGTGTTCATGACAGTGATCTGGGGCAACTGGTCAGCTGCCTCCTTTGGATTCCTCTGAATAGTCTGATTTTATTACCAAAGCCCATTAGGTGCATAACTGAATCAATGTAGGTACAGAAAATTGTCCCGGGGTGAAGATCTTGGAGTCTAACTCTAACCTGACACTGGCATTTTCCTGCTCACATCTTCTGAAGGGTGGCCTCCCAGGAGGGTGTCCTGAGGTCACCAAGCACACTCTGACAGACACGATGTGCAGTGCTCTGCCCATTTGCACAGCAATTTACTGGCTTGAGCCCTGTTCCCTGCTCAGTTGGATGGGCTTCAGTCTCCCAGCTCCCAAGAGTACTCTGAGGATAAGGCAAAGCAACTGCTGTTCTGTGTGAGGGCACTGTCCTTTCTGCCCACAGCTCTAACACCCAATATATGAAAAATAACTTACCTTTTGCTTTTTACGATCACTCCTCTTATGAGTCATTTTTTTACCTTCATCTTCATACACCAAAACAAAGTCAATTCTTCGCCGCCCATCTTTAAAGAACAAGGAGTCAGGCTTATCATCAAAATCCACCTGAAAGGCAGGTGGCATAGGTTAATATGAAGATCTTTACTCACTAGTTCCTTACTTGCTTCCCTTTACACAGTATTTCAGTGAACTTAGAAATTCAACATATATCAGCCTTGTGTAACAGGAAGCCCAAAATGACAAAGTTGAACAGAGTAGAATGGCAAAAAAGAAATTATCCAGAGGAATCTGTCAGGCCTCTTCATGACATCAAATCAACGAAACTTCGACCTAACTTTCTTCTTTAAAAATGGTACATTACCTTTTCATAATGAGAGAAGCACTGGAATGTAGCACCAGTACCAAATAATGCATCTGTCTAGTAATTTGTACACCATCATGGACATATCATTAGATGGTTTGTCTATAAAATGGTTGTTGCCTGATGGGAGTTTCAGAATTAGTGTATTCCCATCTGTTTCCTTACCTGAAGAACTTTAAACATCTCTGCAATTAAAAAAACAAAAAACAGACAAACAAAAACAAATTTAAAAAGCTGCAGTTTTGTGCATGCTTATACTTAAACCCACCCACCACTGCACACAATCAGAGCAGAGATGAGATCTCCAAACAGACACATATTGTCTGGATTTATTTCTCATTTAATCTGGAAAAACTCAGCAAGCAAAAACACATTGTTGTGTGCCACACATCCATCACAGATAAAAAAATTTAATATATCCATAAGCCATTATCTAGTCCCTGGAGGAAAGTGGTATAGATTACCATATCCACTAATAACATCTTAATGTGTTATTTCATGCATGAAACGATACAGACACATTGGTGACAGGGAACCCTGAACGTTTGAATAATGACTTTTAAGTTTTTTAGAGTATTTTTAGAGTAATCTGAGGGCAGTATCACGCATTACAACCCCCTTCCTTTCAGGTAATATACAGTTGTAATGTTATCTGAAACATGCACCAACTTCTCAGGTACTTGGCCAAATCCATCCATGCTGTTAGAGGAGGTGGTGCCACTGAAGTTGATAGGTACCAAAAGCCTGAAATGGGATTCAGCATGGTGTTAGAGACAGGAACATCTCCAAAGCTGGCAAGGCTCCCATACACAACTGCAGAGCAGCCTTGGCCTCCTGCCAGCTGGGAATGGAGAGTAGGCCAAGTCAGGATCTGGTCAGGCAAAATGACACAGAATAATCTCTTGCATTTGCGGTGGACATGGCAATGATCCCCAGATGTTGCATCCCTGGAATTTCCCTGTCAGTTCAGACCAAATTTGATGAGACATGGCAGGTCAGGTTTTGGAGCTCTAGGATGTCTGGTCCACAGAAAGGCCATGGAAATGTGGTTATGGTGTCAGAAACCCCAGAAGTGCAGTCTGAAATGGTTGTTCTTCAACTATGAAGAACCGGGAAGAATGTCAGTCTTGAGTTCCCAAGTTCCAGGGAGCATACAGTGTTTTAGGAACCACGTGTCAGTTTTTCCAAAACAAATTTTCTTATGTGTTTTTTTTTTTCTTCCAAAACCTCTCCCTGTAGATTATTTTGTAACTGTTTATTGGCTGAACCAAAACAGGCAACCAAGATGTGTCTCCCCATAATTATGACAAAATTTCCATATTTTAAATAAACTTGGTGGAGTTTAAACTCACAATTTTTTTATGTCGCATGTGCAAAGGTTAGGACTTGCTGCAAAGAGGTCCTGTTGATTTAGCTGCCTCAAAAGTCTGAGCAGATTCTTGAATAGAACAGTTTTCTTTGAATGCCACCTGTGTGTTGGGATTTGTGACAAACCTGACAGCAAGCAGCTGCTGACACACATACACATATGGCCAGTATACACACAATCTGCATGCTAGTTTCACAGCCTGGGATAGAATTTAGAGACTACCTAGGCTGTCACCAAATCAACATAGAATTGCATACTGCGAATAAAGTTTTAGGGAAAAAAAAGGTATTGAATTTCCAGATGACATCAGCACACCACAATGACAGTGAGTATGTCTATCAGCCAAAGAAAGTCACAGGTGTGAATTTCTAAATTCTTGAGAGATGAAGTTGGCATATTCGTATTAAGAAATCAGTACTGGTCATGACAAGCTTTCCTCCTGCTGAGAACTAGTCACAGGTGTAAAACACAGCCTTCCTTCTTTCATTCCCAATCTCATTTGAAACATAACCACGACGATTTAACGTTGACAAGATTCACTATGGGAAGGAAAGCACCAAATCCCAGCCAAGACTCCCCGTCGGGAGGCAGCCTGGGAGGTGTCTGAGCAGCAGGCACAGAGCCCAGCCTGGGAGCTGCTGCTCTCCCCCGGGACCCCAGCAGGCTCTGGCACGGCATGGGCTACCATGGCTGTGTTGCAATGCTGGAAACACAGCCCAGATCCTGTAGTAATAAATAACAGGGGGAAGGGCTGCCACTACATAAAGCACTAGGTCTTTTATTTGGGCTTTTTCCTCTTTGGAATCTTAGAAACATCATTGTAATAACTTCTGCTTAAAGACACACAGTTTAGTTGTGAAAGTCAAGCACTTGAAAGCATAAAAGTAGTAACAGCTTTAACTTTTTTTTCACTGCAGCTTTTAGCACTTTTTCTGATATGACCCGTCCTCAGGACAGAGAAGACATGGAAAAGAGCAAACATCAAATCAAGATTTGATAGAAGAAGATTTGATCATAATCTGTGTTTGCATAATTTCACTGAATAATTTTCCTTTAAATGAATTTTTTAAGCTTAAAAAAGCAGTGATAACTGGATTATCAATAATTATTTATTATATTAAAAATTATAAATACAATATACAATACTTTTAAAATACCTATTTATAAAATAAAATCTTCCTGTTAACCACCATTCTGACTGATAAATTTACTTACATAAGTGCTGTCATTCACATGTGTGTATAACTGTTATTGTATACGTACACCTTCATCTCTCTTTCACACACTATGCACATAAGAATTGAATATCGCTGAAAGATTAAAATATTGGACTGCATGAATCCAGATACACAGAAGTTCATACTTATGCAGCTAACTTCTTATATGTAATCTCCATTGCTTTTAATCACAAGGGCATTGTTCAGTTGACCTTTCCACAGACACTTTATATATCAATAAAATAAAGAATTGACTCATTAATCCTGAATACTTAAGAGACCAAGATTAAGACCCACACAAATAGATTGTTATGTAGCTCATATTAAATTAATTAAATATTGCTCAAAATTAAGATGTAAAATGTAAAAGAGAAGGTAACAGCCAAGTTTCCAACAGCCACATTAACTTACATGTGCGGTGTATTTTGCAATCCCTACTGGAGAGCTGGTAATGAAAAATCAAATATTATTCAACATAACTACCCAGGGAAAAACAGGACTGGAAACCAAAAAGATGTAGGGCACTTTGAAGTTAGCATTTCCTTTGAGACAATGTTTGTTTTGGGATTTTTTTAATATGTAATATTATTTGACAGTTTTACAAATGATACTATCATACTAATGCACACAAGCTTGCATACGTAGACAAATTAATGGGGCTGAAATTTCAATACCTATTTTTTTAAAGTATCAGTAGCATATTATAACCCCAAATGATTAGCAGACCCATTGACACCTCTTTTTTTTGAAGAAATGAACACATTTACTGCACTATTTAATTTTTTTAGCATTGGCACAAACATGCTTTAAGTACTGGTGGAGGCAATCAGTTGTGCACTCTAATGTTTTAGTAACACCCTAATGGACAGCAGGTTCATATTGATTAACACCAATAATAAAAACATACATATATATATATAGCTGTGAAATACTAATTATACTTAGCACACAATCTGCAGCCTATAATAACTGTCCAAGCGCTGTACAATCAACTGCTTTCCTACCAGGGAACTATCAGTTGCTTTGCTTTATTAACAGAAGGAATCTGAAGGAGAGAAGGACCTGGCCATGAATAAAGTTTTTTGTAACACTGAGGTTACACTTATATGGGCTAGCCTAGAGGCAGCATGGCCACGTCCATGTGGGTGTACCTGTGTGCTTCATTTGGAACAGGTCAGAACAGCTGAGCATCAGAGGCTCTCCCCTCCAGGGAACGAGACCGGAATGGTCTTTTTTGCGGTAACAAAAAGCCCAGGAACAGCACCGGTTCTCCCAGACCCCAGGACACAGCAGCACTTGGAAAAGGGGCAAGAGGACACGAAAATAAGCTCGCCCCAGCACACAAGGCTGAGGGAACTGTTTTGGCTTCAAATGCCCACACCACGGAAGGTGCCCTCAGCCCCCCGAGTCAGAGCTCGTCAGGAGGGAGACTCTGTGCCCCTGCACAGGCACCAGCAGGCTGGTGGGGGCTGGGGACAGCTGCTGTGTCACCTGGAGAGCCGCTGCTGCAGTCACGGCCACCTGCGATGCCTGCGGCAGATGAAAGGAGAACGCGCAGGCGGAAAGCTCCCTTCAGCAACCCCCGTGCTCCAGGGAGGAAAAATGTTTGCACTACCAAGAAACCTGCCTCACTTTTCCAGGCATCTCTAGGCATGAGAGTTAAATATCATAGTTAATATTAATTAATTAATTAATTAATTAATTAATTAATTAATTAAAATTAATAAATATCATAGTTAAATATTCAGTGGGGATAATGGTGGGATGGGCAGCACAGAGACAAGCATGAAGAAAAATATGTGCACAGGAATTGCAGCTATTTACTGTTTACTGTACCCTGAACAAGCACAGTATTGTAAGCTGGATTTTTTAAATAACAAGAGGTTCTGCAGGAATGATTTATGTAACTGGAAAGATGAAAGAAGTGCTTCATTTTGCCTGCAAGAGCCTTTGGTGCGACTGTCAATAACACCAAATGTAATCATTACTGGAGGGATAAACTACTTGTCTGCAACCTCACATAATTTTCAGATATGCTTCAAAATAGCTTCCTGAAGCATGCCAGTGAATAAATCAGTAGTGGGAAAGAAGAGAGCAGAGCAGAGCCTGTGCAACATTGCCTCTGCTGATAGGCACCTGCACAAACTCCCCCACTGGGGCACAGAGACAGACACATGGGGGATCTGCAGCTTGTATTTCAGTTGTGAGCTTTATGGAGAGGAGAATTTCAGAGTGCCTAATTAGGAGCACAGTTATTTCTCTCTGCCTGCTTCAAGAAACTTTAAAACAAGTAAATAAAAAGAAAACGAACTATTACCAGGGTATCAGGAAACATAATTATTTATAAAGGACTTTGAGGTCATCTGAAGAAAATGTTACAGAAATACAAAGTTCTTCTTACTATCACAGCCATATAAAAAGATTTTTTATTTCTTTAGGTTCTGAGCAACCAATAGAAACAACTTTCTGACATTAAGACCAACACAAGCATTTATTTCTGAATTATATTGATATATATATATATATATATACAATATAAAAGATAGTACTGGAAGATATAAGTTTATTTGCATACTGCATAATAATGTTGGTCTGTCTCTGGAGGGCCATAAAACTGTTGTGCCTTTAACATTTTCCTTTATTATTAATATTTTTTAATAACAACAGAAGACTGTTTTTGTTCTCTTTTTAGCAATAATGCAAATATTAACAAGCGCTTCATCAGAAGAATGTCGGTTGTTTTTCATTTCCTCAACATGCAAACGTGTTGAGGAACAAACAAAAACAAACAAACCGAGACTAAAGACAAGTAGAAAAAATATGGGGTGTCACTACAGTCATGCATTTCTGTCAGCAGAAAGCAGCTGGTAACTGGCCAGGCATTGGGATGCCTTGTCCCCTGAGCTAAGTTTGGACCAGACACCCACTTGACTTCCTGTCTAAGCGTCAGGTTGCTGCTGGCTGCAGGAGGAATTCCAGTCACTCCTGATTAGAGAGAGACCAAATGGCCTTACTTTTAAAGAAAATAAAGAATGTGCTCACTGAAAACCTGTTTTTCAGCAACTCCCATCTTTCCTGGGATTCAAGAGCTGGGAAAATTAACTCTTTTGAACTTCCCAGAAGTCTTCTTGCTTCAAGAATACAAGAACTTGTATGTGAGGGGCAGCAGTAAGAGAAAGTATTAAGAAGTTAACCTTCTCTCTGCAGATATTCACTTGCAAAAAAATTTTATTGTTATATGCCAAATCAAATTATCTTCCTACAAAGCAGATAAGCTGCAAAACGAAACATGAGCTGGAAAAGGCTTGGTTAATGCTGTCTGTGCAGTTTTGTATTCCTTGTACATGTTGTTTATATGCATGATTAAATTGTAGCATCACATGCCATATTTCTATGCTCCAAGGAGTAGCTATGTAATACTCCTTATTATCTTCTTTATTTCATGTCTGGTGGGGTTTTTTGTGGGCTTTTGTTTGTTTGTTTGTTTTTTCTTGTTACACCTCAGTTAAATAGTTCAAATGCTTAAAATAGAGATTTCCTTCTGACTATGTCTTTGGTATTTTCCTCATAGAATATCAGTGTTCTGCAAATGTTGTGAAACTTAATTTTAAGACATCCTCCAGGACAGAAAGTAACAGTATATAATTCTCATTTTAATGGTCATCACATAAGGCAGCTAAACATTTATGCCAAAACCTGTTCACTGTCTCCTAAATTTGGAGTTATGGCTTTATACAGCAGGACAGTGACATCTTTCCAGAGAGCTCAGCAATTCTCTCTATTCAAAGAGCAATACACTCAATTCCAGGTCCATATGTCACTCTCTTGCAAATGAAAACAAGGCCAAAGGATTTTCTCCTTAGGCACTCAGGAAAAATAAAAGCTGGTTGCAACTTTACAAGTCTTGAAAATCCTCTAGCAGAGGTTGTCTAATTATCTAGGACTGAACTCAGTTTTTCTAGCAGTAAGAGCCTTTCATTCCTTCACTGCAATTTCCTGCCACATTTAAAGCTTTCTGAAGTACCACAAACAATATCCTCACAGATTTTTGGCATTTTGGAGATAATTGTCCTATTCATGTGCCAAATGAGGCATGGATCTCTTGTGGCAAACTTAGCATATGATATTGTAATTAGAGAAAGCACCAAAAAAAGAACAGGACTGTTTCTATTAGCCAATAATTTACTTAGTTTTGGCTCCTCAGAAGAACTTGCAAAATCAGATCAAATTTCCAGAATACTTCCGGCTGCAATGCACGATTTAAGTTTATACAAATGACACTTCCTTTCTATTCAACCATTTCAGGTTTGGCTTCCTCTTCAGTTTCTGTTTCTAGCTACAATTAGCTCTAATTCATTTAGCAGAGGTTCAGCAGATCTCAATTTTATCTTTCTGTCTCCTCCAACCCACTGAAATTATCTGTTGATCAACAAGGATGACTTGACAAAGAAGGAGCAATGCAGAGATGCTGCTAAAACTGAAAAAAACCTACAATTGCTGGTGAACATGAGTAACCAAAAATAAAAATTGATTTTGACTGTTAATTTTCAGTAGAAATAAAAATAAATTCTACCAAGACTGTTCAGAGGAGACTGTTCCAACAACAAGGTATTTGACTTTCCAGCTGTTTTGATGCTATTTCACTTCATAAAAATATATAAAAAAATAAAAATCAGTGAACCACAAGGAGACTCTAAGAAGGACTTTTATACCATCCATGTCTAGGCACTCAGTTGGGAAATGGAAGCTCTTGGCTGCATCTTATGCTTCAAAAATGTTTAAACAACTTCAAATTAACACCTTGCTGTAAAATGCAGGGTCAGGGGAGGCAAGTTTCCAGAAGGAAACTAATTTCCAGTTACTTTGGATATTGGTTTCCTATGAGATCTGAGGCAGGAGTTCTTGTGCCAGCAGCCTGTTAGCTGCAGAAAATCTTTGGTGAGCTGGGAACCTCGAACTTTGGATAAAGGGAATGGACACCTCTAGGTCTTTCTTGTCAGTTCAGTCTCTGGAGTAGGGAATTTATTGGTGTCTCCAAGCTTTCTTGGAACTTTCTTGGGTATGTGTGTTCATATGTAGGGTGAGTTCAGAACTACTGATTCTAATATACACACACATAAATCCTATACACTTGTGACCAAAATTACTCAGAGAGAGGAGGTGTATGTGTATATATCAGCTTATAGTGAGTTTATATTGGTCACTTATAATTGAGTCCAGTGCCTGTGACAACCTGTACTTTCAGAGTTGAGTCAATTATTTCAGGTACCTTTAGGGAAATGGGGATAACAGCAACTCAGATTTAATCACAAAGATGAACTGCATGTGATGCAAATGCAAAGGAATGCTAGTCTTCTGGAACAGCTACTGGACTGTTACATACCTACAAGAGAAAATTTTACAGGTATTCACAGTTAAAGTATAAACAGGTACCCACCCATTCAGGAGTATGAAGGTTTTGCTGGTCCGGCACAGTTCCATAAGTGGGCATAATCACCTGGTTCAATTCCAAGACTAAAATGAAACATTAAAAATGGAAACATTTTAGCATTTTTTTGTGGTAGGGGTTTTTTATGTGTTTATAGTTTTAAATTTTTTTTTATTAATGCTTTGTGGAGAAGCCAGTTTATTGCACTTATTTAGTGTTTCAGAAATGGAACGATTGTGTGTCACACTTCAGTTACAATCAGCAGGTGGCAAGAAAATGAAACACCAGGTAATGCTAGGAGAACATTTTGACAGTGATGCATCCCTACAGTGATGCAAACAGCATCCCTTTACTAGTATTTTACTACTTATTTAGTGTTTCAGAAACTCTTTGGACTTTGTAGCAAAGTTTATTTTTCAATGAATAACGCTACCAGAAGTGGCTCCAGCTGGGCAAATAACCCTAGCTCATGCTGGCTGTACTTGTCAGTAGCAAAGAATTCTTCACAAGGCTTGGAATAGGTGTTATACAGGCTGCGATACTGTAAGATTCACTCAACAACACATAACCTAAAAATACACCTACACCTTCAATGTGTATTAATGCCTCAGCTATTCCTCACCCATTTCATCAACACCTGTTAAAAACGAACAACCTGGAAACTAAATTGGTTTCCTGAAAATAAAATATAAACTAAAAATGACTTTATCAAATATGGTACTGCATGAGGCCATTATCAAGCACACTGGGAATACTGGCTACCAAATCAAGCACCAGATAACACATAAATTCATCCTAAAAAAGCTACTGGAAATAAGTTACAGAAGCTCTACATTTGCTGCAAGGTATTTGCAAGGTTTTGTTTCTTCACAAGTATTTTTGTGTCTTAAGGAGAAGTCAGATAACATCCTGAGGCTGATGATAACATCAAGTAGCTGAAGGGAGCAGTCTGCTTCCTGCCTATGCATGGCAGGCAGATGGATCCCATCTGTTATTTTTAGATCCTTAAAGCTCAGACATATCTAAGTTAAGTCTGTCCTGCATTGAGGAAGGGTCATGGATAACACAGGTACCTAAATTCCAGTGTTGTCTGGAAAGGACAGTCTCAACCTACCGAAAAATACTATAATACTAAAAGAAGATCTCCAAACTCTAAAATAATTAACCTAACCTTTTAGAATAGTTCAACACCCATTAGATACAAAGCCAGGAAAAACACAACTGATATGCCTGGTTATGTTTTGGTTTAGTTTAGCTTTTTTTTTTGGTTGGTTTTGGGTTTTCTGGCTTAAAACCTTCATTGCTTTTCTTTTTCACTGGTGATGCTCATTTATAGTAGCTGAAGATATGCCAGAACACTTAGAAAAAGAGCACAACAAGATTACAAATTCTCTCATGGCCTCCAAGCAGAAAATTCTTGTTTAAATACTCTTTCAGAGTTTGGTAGGGACTTAAGTGCAGATGGCGTTGTCAGTTTTCAGATCTCTGCTTTGGTAATAGTAAATTAAAAATTTAAAATTTAGAATTTTAAAAAAAAGAGCACTCAAACATCACATGGTGAGACAATAACATAAGGGCTTAGAAAACACAAGCACCTCTCAGCAGCTACCAAAAAACTGCTGAACATGTGCATCATTATGGTTTAATAGATTTTGCTTAGACTAAGGTGAGAAGGGGAAAGACATTCTCAAAGTCAGTGTAATGGACATCTGCCTGCATTTCCTTCATTCTTTATTTTCTGTGTCAACGCAAAGATATCCAGATACAAAGTATTTCTGAAAACCCACAGAAGAAGAAATGTTTCTGCCCACATGTAATGGGCAGAGGGAAGTAGAAATATTAGCATCTTGCTTTGACATATAAACAGTTGCTCTGAAGCTGTGTGCCATTACACAAAACATGAAGGTATGGACACAGACACAAAGACTCCCAGCCACTGAACTGCATAATCAGGAGTCAAAGTGGCCTTTTTACTAAGTAACCACACCCCCATCATTGGTCCTGTCTAGAAAACCCTTCAGACAGAACTGAAGGTGGAAACATGCCATTCACAGGAAGCAGAATTCCAGTTCTCGAAAATCCTTATGGATCTGGGGCTGGTCAGAAATATCCTTGTGAAATTTGTATGTGAGTTCAATTTGCTTTTGCATCAGGGTCTCTATCCAGAATACCTTCCTCCTGATACAGTGAATGTCATGGAAACTTTATAATTGCGTCTATATTTAATATTTTAACACATTTGTATTTGAAATAATGCTCAAGAGAGTCCCTGGGTCATTGTCCCTATGGAAGAACTTACGTAAAAGGGACCTGCCACTCTTACCTCTCATGAGACAATAGCCAAGAACTTCTCTCAAATTAATTACAGATTAATGTTCATGTGAATCCAAAATTGGAAAGTCTTGACACTACCTGAATGGGTACTTAGATAAGATTTGTTCTGACAGTGGTTTGCAAGGGCAGCTGTGTCAATTTGTGCCGTTTTTATCTGGAAGAGACTGTTCTAGTCTCTCAGAAATACAAAAACAATACTGCAAAAACTCAGCTTTGCCAGAAAAAGCTGCACCCACACAAAGTGCTTTTTATACCCCCAAAATCACTTAATTTATATTTCTCCTACCTCCCCATCAGCATTATGGTAAAGTTAGTTTTAGGTATGGAGGAAAAAAAAAATTACAGCATAAGAGTTTGATGCTACACACTAAGAAAAACCTCCTAACAGCAAGAACAGGAAAGCTCCTGAGAAGGCAGGTGAGGTCATGTGAGGTCTTTAACATCAGAGATTATTTAGTACAGATGAATTAAATATTCTGGAACATTTAGGCCATGTTGAATCTGGCATCAACTTTATTAGGCTGGCCTACCAGAGGTTTTGAGCTCTGGGTCCCAAGACGCAGTTTCCTCTGATTGTTAAGTCTGGCCATAGTGTTATCATAGTTACGTCTAGAGGCCACTGTGTTGAGATTTTATAATAAAATAATAGTTCTGTTTACTCATATCTTCTTCAGAAATGTTATCACTCCTATTACTATTTGAGTCAAGGCTAGACGTTTGTGTTCTATCACCCAACCAAGTAAAGCAAAGGAGGTGCAAGGGAACAAAGAAATCTACTGGCTTTGTGCCAGCATACTGTGATTTTAATTGACAGATACATCAAATTCTGTCTTCAAGCAATCCAGGCAACATTTGCTTTTTTCTTAACAAAAGACAAACGCTTAATCTAATTTCTTTCTATTGTACTCATAGTTCTGAGTGTCTGCTCAATGATACCAGTTGGTCTTTGATCTAGTCTTCTCAAAAGATGCTGTTGTAAAAATTTTAAGTACTGAAAATGTGCAAACTACTTTGAACATCTTTGTGGTATTTGAGCTGCCAATACATCAGTGGTGTTTCCAGCTGCCTGGAAATTATTCTTCAATGCAGGACACTGAACTGAGTTGTCAACACCTCACACCTTCCCTCAAATATGCCTATGCAGAAGTACTACGAAGTCCATGCTAATCCCACATTATTTCTTCATAACCTATGTATATCCCATTCTTTTGGCCAGGCCATTGGTGATGAATCCTGATGTTTATTCTACCAGCAATTTTTAAAATGGGTTTTCTCTAAAGCTTTGCTTTCTTACAGGTAAGCCAGAATTTCTGACTGGATTGAATAAAAACCTCAAAAATCCCTTGACAGCCAACACAAAATGTCCAGTCTTTTCATTAATTAATTAATATTGACAGTGGATGGTTTTGTAAGTTCAGTGATTTCTTATTGCATAATTCAAATTTAAAGGCTTTAATGAACATTATTACTAGCAATCTCTACCTATTGCTATAGGTGAGATGTTAAGGCCTACTGATAGACATGGAAGCTACACTTCCTTTATAAGAAATTTACAGAAGAATTAAATATAAAGAATTAAACCTTTTTTTGGGGTCTGAATAGTGAAATAATGGAAGCTGTCCAAAGCACATTTAGTAGGGATGAAACAGGCTTTTTGAATCTGTAAATTAAAGAGGACTGAGAACAAAAAAAAGCAGTATCCAATAGTGAAAAAACATGTTGTCCAGAAAAACATTAATGACAAAAAACAAAAAAAGTTGGATAAGCTGATGTTTGAAAAGAACCATTGGGCTTGGCTTTGTTACAAGGACATTGTCAAACATGCCTGAAGATGCCAATCTTTTAGACAAAAGAAATTCTATGTATTTGCTTTCACTGATTTCCTCTCAAATGAATTTAGTCAGAGGTGAGAAAGAGCTGCAGCACTCTTTTGGCTTGTAAATCACCTGCATTAACCCAAATTAATAGGCACCGAATTATTCTGAGAAGTCAAGAAGACTTTACTAAACTCATAGTACCTGGTATTTAACAAGCCTGTGAGACATTGTTAAGGACAAGATCTCAGCCCTGGCACTGAACATGGTCCCTCATGAGCAACCAAGAATGCAAAGCCAGGAGGTGACATCTGGAATCCCTGGGCTTTGCTGCTTTGCTATGGAGATCACATCACCTCTCACTTCCCTCAGAGTTCTGAGAGTGCTGACTGTCTCTCACAGAATCTTTAAACAGTCTAAGTCCCAAATCCTCTCCTTACAGGGAGAAAAATAAGTTAATAGAACACTGTGCTCTCCTAAGTACAAAACCAATGTGCTCAAGAACATCTGCTCAGCCCCTTAGTGGGATTTGCCTGCAGCATGGAGTTCCTGTTCCCCAAAGAGGGAAGTTTACAGTATGGGTACAGAAAATGGACCAAAGCCAGACCGCAGTGCTGGGGCACAGCCACTGGTCCGCAGTTCCGGGCTGCATGTGCAGTGCAGCAGGTGGGAAGCAGGGAAGGAACGGGCAGCTGGCATTTGCTGAAGGAGAACACTGATGGTATTTCAGACCCCCATTCAAACTTCCTCCCAGCCCTGTCTTCACGTAGCTGTGCCTGAGGCAACAACATTCACTGCACATAGAAATGTACAAACATAATGAACACAATTAGACACGCTCGGGTTGTTTAGGCCTCAAATAGATTGCAAAGAAAATTAGTATAATAACAAAATACGTCACTGAGTGGAAAATATCAGGAAATGTTTACGTGCAATTT